AGATTATTAGCAACTACTTCACAAATTTGTATATCAGTAAACTGGAGAATTCATAAGAAATAAATTCATATATATATGAATTACCAAAACTGAATCAAGAAGATATAAAAATCTTAAATAATCCAATAACAGGAAATGAAATTGAAACAGTAATATTCTACAAAAAGGCAGAGAAGATCTAACATTAATACTTTGCAAAGTCATTCCTGGAAGCTACCATTTCCTTGATTCCAAAACCAGACAAGGATCCAACCAAAAATGTGAACTACATGTCAACTCTATAATGAATATAATAACAAAAATCCTCAAGAAGGGGCTGCGGATTTTGCTGAGTGGCATTAAGCACTTGCCTGGCAAGTGCAAGGTCTTGAGTTCAATTCCTGGTACCCCCCCAAGCCCCAAACAAACAAATGACCCCCTCCAAAACCCTCAAGAAGATACTGACAACCAGAATTCAGCAAATCATTAAAAAGACACACACCATGACCAACTATGCTTCATTCCAGTGATGCAAGGATTGTTTACTATATGTAAATCAATAAATATAATACATTAGATAAGAAAAGCAAGCATAAAAATCACATGATCACTTCAACAGATGAGAAAAACAACTTCGACAAAATCCAACATTTATTCATGACAAAAACACTGAAGAAAATAGGTATAGCAGGATCTTATTTCAATCTGATAAGGCTGTCTATGACCAACCTACTACAAAGGTCATATTAAATAGAGAAAAGCCAAAAACTTTCCCTTTAAAATCAGGAAAAAGACAAGGATGTCCACTATCACCACTGCTGCTTAACATAGCACTAGACACTGGCAACAGCAATTAGACAAGAAATAGAAAAGAATACATACAGGAAAGGAAGAAGTCAAATTATTATTATTGTTATTGTTTGTATTTTGAGATAGGGTCTCACTATGCAGATCAAGCTGGACTTGAACTCACAATGATTTTCCTTCTTGAGCCTCCCAAATGCTGCTATTAAGGCGTGTGCCACTATGCCTGACTAAATTATTATTTTTTGCAGATGACATGATCCTCTGCATAGAAGACTCCCCCCAAAATTCTCCAAAAGACTTCTTGAATAATCCGTTTTAGCAATATAGTGAGATACAAAAAAAACCCACACAAAATTAACAGCTCTTCTGTATGCCAAGAGTGAGCTCACTGAGAAAGAAATAAGGAAACAAAATACCATTCCCAGTGGCACCAAGAAAATTAAATACTTTAAGAATTAACCTAAGGAAGTGAAAGACCTCTAGAACAAAACGTATAGTACTATGAAAAAGGAGATCAAAGAGGACATCAGTAAATGGAAACACATCCTCTATCTCTGGGTAGGCAGACACGATATAGTCAAAATGGACTTACTTCCAAAACTCAATGTCAATCAAAATACCAACAGCATTCTTCACAGAATTGGAGAAAACAGCTCTAAAATTCATAAAAAACCAGAAGAGACTTAGAATAGCAAAACCAACCCTGGGTAACAAGAGAAAGGGGGAGGTATCACAATCCTGGATCTGAAGTGAAAATTAGCACGGTACTGACATAAACACAGACATGCGAATCAGTGGAACAAAACAAGAGGAAACAGAAACAACCCCACAGACATTCACTATTTGATCTTTGACAAAGGGGCCAAAAACACACACGGGAGGAACGACAGCATCTTTAATAAATGGTGCTGCTATTAAGTGAAATAAATCGGACACCAAGTGCAAATATTGCACTGTTTCTCTGGTGTGAGAAACTGAAGGTGTAATTAGACCAAATTGTGCTGCTACAAACATGGGTGCACATGTATCACTGCAGAATCATGTTTTCAGTTCTTCTGGGAATATGCCCAGAAGTGAATAGCTGGGTCAATTGGAATTTCCAATCCCAGCTTTTTAAGGAACTTCCAGACTGACCTCCACAATGGTTGCACCAGTCTACACTCCCACCAACAGTGCAGGAAAGTTTCTTTTTCCCCACAGCCCCTCCAGCATTCGTTGGTAGTTTTCTAGATTCTGGCCATTCTTTCTGGAGTGAGATGGAATGTCAGTGTGCTTTTATTTTGCATTTCTAAAATGTGTATTAGATATTGTGAAATGGTAAGAAAATGTTCAAATGGGGAGAAATGGGCGGGGAGAGGGAAAAGTAAAAAAAAGGTGAGAAAAGACGGAAACAAAGCTTTCTGTGAATAGGGAGGGGACAGGAGGAGTTGAAAGGAGGGTAGGGGAATCAGGAAAAACAAGCACAAATTCTCTAGGATGAATGTGATCATTATGTGTATCTAAAATGTAGTAAAAAATCTGAAGAAAAAAATAAATAAATGGTGCTAGGAAAACAGGATATTTATGTGCAGAAGGTTGAATCTAGACCCTGATTGCTTATCATATATTAAACTTAGCTAAAATTGATTGCAGGAGATGCGCAATGTTTTGTTCCAGTGTATCATTTTGTTTTACTCGATGTTCTTTGGTTTTATTGTTTTATTTGATTTTACTATGTCTGATGGTATAGACAACTGTGATGAAGATAGCAAGATATATCATGGCAGCCATTGCTAACTTCCTATTATCTTGCTTTGAAGTCTATCAGTTTCACTGTTTTGACTGGCTTTTTTTTTTTTTTTTTTTTTGGTATCAGGGATCAAACTCTGGACCTCGCACTTGCCAGGCAGGTGCTTACACTGCTGAGCTAAATCCCTGAACTACTGACTGGCTTTATTCTGTTTTACTTTGTTAGGTTTTATTCTTTTTAAAATAAAAAAATTGATTACAGATTTAAATGTTAAAATAGAAATGAATCTTTACAGAGATAAAATAAGTCACAGGTATAGGCAAGGATTTTCTGAACAAAACCTTGGTCAAGAAATAATCCTGAGAACCAACAAATGTGATTATATTAAATTAAAAGGCTTCTGCACAGCAAAATAAACAACCTATAAAATGGGAAAACATTTTTCCATCTAGTCCTCAAAGGACTAATATCTAGATGAAAGAACTAAAAAAAACTCCCTCCAAAAAAGAGCCAAACAATGGGCAAGTGAAATGAACAGATGCTTCTCAGAGGACAAAGAACAAATGGCCTATAAGTACATGAAAAATGTTCACATCTCTAACCTCTAGAGCAATGGAAATTAAACAGAACAGAACTTCTAGGAAACAATGACAGCAGTCCTAGAATATAACACTGAAACTCAGTCTTACTCCAGAAAGAACAGCCATTATCAAGAAATCAAATAATAACAGATGCTGCTGAGGCTGAGAGGCAAAAGGAAACCTCTACATTTTAAGTGAGAATATGAACTAGCACCATCACTACAGAAATCAGTGTGGAGATTCCTCAAAGAACTGAAATTAGAATTCTATTTCACTCGGCTTTCCCCTTGCTAGGAATCCTCCCCAAAGAGTTAGACATGGTATCAGTGATCCTATTACAGAATGTAATACAAAGGTATTATATTTACACCTATGTAGCAGCACAATTTAGAACAGCTAAATCTTGGAAGCAGCTTTTATGCTCAGCAATAAGTAAATGGATAAAGACTCTGCCATAAGGGATACATTTGTGTGTTGGCACATGCCTGTAATCTCAGCATTCAGAAGGCTGTGAGTTTAAAGCCAGCTTTGGTTCCACGAGTTCAAGACCAGCCTGAATTATAGAATAAGACCCTGTTTCAAAAAGCAACAAAGACCAGGTGTGGTGGTGCATGCTTGTAATCCCAGCACTGGGGAGATGGAGAGAGGATGATTATTGTGAGTTAAGACCAGCCTGGGACACAAAGTGAGCTCAAGGCCAGCTTGAACTGCATGGTGAGACCCTGCCTCAAAAACAAACAAACCTTTTCCCCACACAAAAAGAGAAACTTGTCATTTATAGGAAAATGGATGCACCCTGAGATTATGTTACATGTAATCAGAGGCATATGCTAAAATTTCACATGGTTTCTTGTATTATGAGAAACTCAAGATAGGAATAAATGGTGAAATAAAAGGTAATAAGAATGGGAAGAGTGTCAAGAGGAAGGAGGGGAACAAAGAGGATAAAAGAATTAGGATGTATTAGATACATGTACCAATTCTCCATAAGGGATGTAAAAGAATAATCTGAATCCTAATTTTTGGGTCTTGTTTTGATGGAAGTGGTTCCAAAGGCAGGTGCTCATCAAGACAAAGAACACAACCATCTCATTTCCTGCCCCGGTTCCTCCCTGGGGCTGACACCAAGAGCCTGTCCGTAGGCAGGCACGGAGTGATGACTGGCTGCTGTGAAGCTGGACAGGCCAGTCCTGTGACACTTGCCTCCCTGACTCTAGATTGCCTTCCACTGGGGCATTTGGCTTTGAAGGTTTGGCACCACAGTCAAGGCCTTCCGGATGCTGTTAGTTCAGAGCAAGAGCAAGCAGTGCTTCCTTACTAGTGACAGGGACCCAGCCTGAGCAGGTCATCAGGAAAAGTAAGATCTGGTGGGTGAAGCTCTACTGTCCTCATGTCACCTCCTCAGCTCCAGGGCTCTCATCACCTCCATCAAAGAACACTAGGGACTTGAGCTTATTTCCGGAGGCCACCAAAGACTTGTGTTTGCCTCTTGCACTAAATCCTGTTTTGCAGATAGTTGCAAGAGAACCAATGGTGTGTGGAATAAGTATGAAAACATGCTAGAGTTCTCATGGAGGTGCCGGGGCTGCCATGAGGGAGACCCCTGACTTTCCGTGCTGTCAGTGGTGTGTGAGATGCTGCGTGAGGAGCAATTCCTTCCACACTTCCTGCAGCACCGCGATCTCCGATCCACAGGAGCTATGGGGCTTCTTGGGGAGATGGCCATCTCCAAAGCCAAGGCACAATGAAAGCAATGTCAGTAGATACTCCCCAAGCAGTGAGTCCTTCAATTCATCTGTGCGTAGCTTATTGAAGCTGACACTGCTGTCTGATTGCGAAGTAGGCCCCAAATCACCACAAACCATGCAGGGCCCATTAAGAAGGACTGGTTGAGTACAAGTGCATGCAGGACAGAGAATAATTTTATTCTTTTTTTCTTAAAGATACAATAGAAGTTTTACAATTCAGTATCATTAAATGTCATCTGTAATTTAAACTCTTAATGAGAAGAACACAAATTATAAAACTCCTAGAGCAAAAAACCAAAACTACTTTTCTGATCAAAACATGTACCACAACTAACATTTCTTAGACCATTTGTAGAAAGCCTTGAAACTCAATTTTTTTAAACTATAGTTCTGTAACCACTAAGTGCCTTCATCAACTCACTGGTCATATGCTTCCTATTTAGGCACTGATGATCAAGTGGCTTGAAACACGTAAGTCTTGCTCTTACTTTTCCAGCTATAAAATACTAGTATTTCATGAAAACGACAAAATATTTAAGCACAGAAGCTTTCTGAAAACTTCCATGACCTATTCTGGCTCAGTACCTGACCAAAATGTTCAAATGTTTATATTGCACATAAAAAAATTTGAGCAGCATACTACGAGAAGCTGATAAAAAAAAACAAGACTGGGGAAACTCCCCAAATTTCCATGATTTAAATATATAGCTTCTATATCATTAATTAGTATAAGTAAAAAGGTAAACTTTTGAACAGCACAGAAATACAAATGTATTTAGAAGTTTACAAAATATACCCAACCCTTTAGTCATGCACAACCTTTAAGGTGGAGCCACCACACAAGGCAGCTCCTGTCTCCTTCACAATGAATGCAGGAAGTTGTGTGTATGAAGTTATAGATACAAAAAGAATAAAATGCACATTCCTTTTGTCTTTGGGATGTTGGAAATTATCAAAAAGCAATTCCAATGCTGTGAAGTCTGAAGACTTGGAATGAGGAGATTTCTAGCACACGTGCTGCTATGTGGAATGACAGCCATCTTAAGGGATCAGGACAGCATCCTTATCATGCTGAAAGGTGACCAAGGGACTGGGTGGGACGTTGCGAACAGTGTGCCTCCATTGAATAGAGAATGCATGCAAACAGCAGTGCCAGCCAGCCAACTCTCCTAACAGTACCAGGCCACACTCAGCAGCTGCTACCGCCACACAGGTGATTGTGGTTAAGGACAAGGACATCGGTCAGCCCCACACAGCCAAGAGGCTCCCGACCAGCACTGGCTAGAAAAGGACAATTGAGAATAACTCTCATAAAACTTTTTCCCACAGAATATAAAACATTAGCAAAACCTACCTGCCAGGGAGGTAACACTATAGCTTCATTTAGAAACCTGAAGCTAGCAGATTAAAATTCAAACTTCTTTCTAAAAGAATTCTTTTAACTCTCAACAGATTAAATACTGCTCTCAAAATATTTCATTCAGATTTTAAATACCTCTTCCTCAGCCACAAAACAACTTCTCTTTCGTTCTCTTCCTAATTTGCCTTTACTGTGGCTTTCCTAAGGAAGTCTACAAACATTAAATGCTTAGTTACAGAGTTTGGAAAGCAGAAGCCTGAGGAAGTGACATCATTCACACTGGTTGGCTGACAAAGAAAAATAGATGCTGTGACTTAAAGCAAAAGTCCATGAGAATTGTTTTAGGGCTTGGGAGCCAGTGAGTCAGCAATGGATTTGGGGACAACTATTCTACACTGGTCATATCAGCCAAATACATATGCAAAGTCATTCGAAGCCTTTGTGACATGTGACTTTCTCTATTCCTCTACTCCATACCTGTAGCTTTACCACTGTCTTCCTTATCTATGCCATGTCATTACAAGGCCTAAGTGAATATATGTACCAGTTTTTTAAAAAAATACTAGTCTTAAGTTATCTGAACAGCAGGGAAGCTACCAATAGGATGCAGATTCCTCTATGTGCATGCCTACCTGCAAAAGCTGGCTAATGTCACTGCAAAAGTGCAGTACCAACAGACCCACCTGTCTGGTCTATCAGAAGATGGCCAGGACCAACTGTGGAGCTGCACAGCCATTATTTGGAGGGAGGCACTGCCTCTGGCTTGCCACTTGGTGCGGCTGGAAAGCAAGCCTGAGGCCTGTGGGTTCATAGCCAGTGCCAGGCGTCCTGTCCTGGCCTCCATCATCCAGAAACCAGAAGGAAGCACAGGTAAGGCCTCTGACATCATTTTTATCTTTTGAGATGTTCATTTTAGGTTGAAAGTCAATTAAGTGCCAACTTTACAATTAAACCAGAAAGATTAGTAGAAGGCTCAATTAAAATACACATTCAAATGGGAAACCAGTGAGCAAAATGTAATTTCATGTGGCTTTATGTCAGTGGATTAAAAACTATCTGTAAGCTGCTTCTGAATAAGAGATAGGAACCCACCCCTAACATGCAAGTCTGACACCAGCAGAACAGCACTCAGCATCTTGCTGATCCCTCCTAGAGCACTAGGCAACTCATACAGCAAACTGCTGGCACCAGGTGGGTGACCACCACAGTGGGACACAGTATTATACTCCAACATGTGGTGTGGCCTTCAGATGAGACAGTCTCAGTACAATCCTATACAGAACCCTTCAAGGTATTGTCTGCTATTACTTTCCTGTTTTCAAATATTTTTCTTGTTGTTTTGGTTTGGTTATTCTGAAACAGGATCTCACTATGTAGTACAGGCTGCCTTGAACTTACAGTGATCCTCCCGCCTCAGCCTCCCAAATGCTGGGATTACAGGCATGTGCCACGACTGGCATTCAAATAATACTTCTTGACATTAACTTTCCAGGATGGAGCAAATCAATGGAGTTTTCATACTGTGTCCTTCAGTGTATCTTTGCTGAGCTTTCAAATTATTACGCTCAAACAGAAGAAGTATGCTTTTGGGTTCACTGGACTTGTGTTCAAATTCAAATTAGGAAACTTAGATATTTAGATTAGGTCACATGTTTATTTCACATGACTTTAGAGGATTACTTCATAATTACCTATTTCATACAGGATAAAACAAATGTAACCAGCATCCTCAATCAGGCACCTGAATTCCCCAATACTCCTCACAGAATACAAAAGTCAACTGAAAAGGAGTTTCCCAGAGTCCCCTGCTGCTGAAAGGGAGTCTGCTCCTCAAGGCTCTGAGAAGTCCATCCCAGGCTCCTGGAAAAGCAGCATGGGAACATGTGAACTCCAGTGCTGTAGAGCATCAAGGGGCATGTGGGTGGCAAGTGGCAAGCCAAACCCAGGCCTCCTGGAGACAGGTAACAAAGTACAGGGCTGTGGTCTGCTGCTTCTGCTTTCTGGTTTATTAATTGGGAGCTAAAATTTTTTTCCCCTGTTTTTGGGATATCACTGGGGACTGAACCTAGGGCAGCCCTACTGGGCTACATCTCCAGTCTTTATTTTTATTTTTCAGACAGTCTCAAGTTGCAAAGTTGCCCAGCTTCCCAGAATGCTGGCAGTAAAGGTATATATCATCACCCCAGCTAAGATTTCTCTTTAATTTTGTGGATCATTTTGCCTTTCTTGGCAAAGACATGATGGACTTTCTTTCTTAGTAAGTGTGTGTGTGTATAAATAAATATACACATATGTACACACATGTGTACACACACACACACACACACAATTTTTTTTTTTTTTTTGGTACTGGGGATTGAACTCTCAACCTCACACTTGCCAGGCAGTTGCTTATACTGTTGAGTTAAATCCCCAGTCCTTTTATGCTTTTATTTTATAAATACTTTTAGAAAGAGGCAAGGATTGTTTGCAGGATTTTTAGTTAGGGAAGCAGGAAGGCCAAGTACCTAGAAAAGCTTTATGAGGAAGAGGAAGAAGAAACTGTAGGTCTGATAATAGTGATGGGAAACTACTCAAGTGAAGAACAAGAAGGCACCAACTTTGAATTAAAAAATGTTGGCAGCCAGGGATTTAGCTCAGTGGCCTAAGCGCCTAACTGATAAGTGTGAAGTCATAAGTTTGATCCCCGGTACCAAACAAACAGACAAACAAAAATTCTGGCAAAGACTGACACATGGCTAGAGTTGACAGAACTAATGTATGGGTCTTTGAAAGCCCTGACCACAGGTTATCCCAAGTCAAACCACTCACCACTGGGACTGTCCACATGCTGTTTCTCTGTCCACCTGCTGTGGCACAGTCAACAGGGGGAGGAGAGCACCGGCCTCATAGCAAGCATACTAGAAAAGAACAGATCAACTGCCTGAAAGCAGACACTCTATGCACAGTACTCCTGCTCCATTTTGCGCAGTTCTAGGAAGAAAGGAACTGATCAGAGTGTTCTATGGATAGGAAACACAGAAAAAAAAAAAAATCCTAGAACTTAGGAAAACAATAATGGCTGGATTTACAGCCCTTTACCTTGATAAGTACATTTTACAGCCAGCATTAGAGAAATTAAAAATAGTAATATAACTTAATTTTAGCAAATATAAATTAAAATGGGCATCTATTCAGAGGCGAAACAACAAAATTTACACACAAATGTCTCTAAAGTAAACAGATGTACAATCTCTGAAATTAAGGACTTCATTGGAAGGTTTGCTGCACATTTTAGGCTCAGAAAAGAAGAAAAGTAGTCAATTTAAAGGTCAAGCCAGAGTCCACCCTGCTGTGCCTGTGACCTTGTCTTTTCAGTATCCGATGGTGTTCATCCGACAGTGCAACTGTGCAGGTAAACAGCTCGGCATCCAGGGCCTGGCTGCGGCTCTGTGGCCGGGGAAGGTGAGGCTGGGGCACAGGTGGCCAGGAGCATTTATACCTACGGAAGTGAAGTGGCTTCTGTCATGGCTCAGGGCTTCCCGTCAGGAGGCTCGGGGAGACTCTGAGGTGTAGAAGTGGTAAAAGTCGAAAGCCACGAAGACATAGCTGTCTTTGCACTGGAAAAAGCTCCTCCAACTGACTGTCCTGGTGGAAAATAAAGGAAAAAACTATCTGACCTTGTTAAGTACTGTGAAAGATGAAGGCTTATCAATAAATGGTAACTCACACACCAGTATGTTAACAAAACAATGAATTTTCTCATTTCAAAACAATCTCTTTCCAGAGGAAACTGCATGGTTTCTTGGTGTAGGAGTCCCCTTGAAGCACTCCGAAAGTATTCATCTATCTGTGTTAGTGATGCTGGCTGTGCATGAGAATTATCTGGACTAAAGAAGTTAAACATGATCTCTGCACCTTAAACACTACACTGGTAATCAGTACCAATTATACCGGGGACAGTGGCTAAGCAGTCTTAAAGAAATTTGCTTTTAGCATCTAAAACTGATACACTAAATACAGTAGTCTATCTGCCTCGGGTCTGTTTTGTTCTCTAGAACATCTCAAAAGTTAAGGCCAGCCAGGGATTTAGCTCAGTAGCATTAAGTGCCTGCCTGGCAAGCACATGTTCGATCCCTGGTAAAGTTGAGGCCAATGTGAATTTACATAACAAATCAATACTGTTACAAAGGGGAACATGGAAGAACTGTTCTTAAAGAGTTTAAATACTGGCAGCACCATCCCTAAAAACCAAGTACAGTAGTATTTCCTTATCTGTGGTTGCATTTTCTACCGGTTCAGTTACTCCTGGTATAAAAAAAATTTTAAATGGAAAACTCCAGAAATAATTTCCAAGTGGTATTTCGCTCTGCCCAGCCCTGTCCTGCTCGTATGGAGTCCTCTCCTGTGCAGCATGTACAGACTATGGCGCTGCCTGTGAGGCACAGGCTGTCGTCTGGTCATCATACAGACCATCAGGTGCTGCAGTGTGTGCCTCAGTAACCTTTATGTCACTTCACAGTAGCCCTAAAGTGCAAGAGCCGCGGTGCTGGCCACTCGGATTTTCAAAGAGAAGCTGTCAAGGGATCCTTCAGTGAAGAGGTGAAGGTGTAAAACCTTTGAGGCAGAGCACATTCACATAACTTTTATTACAGTGTATTTGCATACTGGTTCCATTTTAATGTCATTATTGTTAATTTTTTATTGTGCCTAGTTTGTTAAACCAATTAAAAATATTATGGCAAGTTTTAAAATTTTGTATTTCTTTTTCTTTTTTTTGAGACAGAGTGTAGCTATATAGTACAGGCTGGGCTTAAACTCACTTGTGTAGCCCTGGCTGGCTTCGAACTCACAGGAATCCTCTCCTGCCTCTGCCTCCTGAGTGCTGGGATTATAGGTATCCACCACTCCTGGCTTGTATTCCATTTTATTATATAGCTTTACAGATTTTCTATTTCTTACTGCATCAGTTTTGTAACTTGAGTCTTTCAAGTAAGTTTTCTATTTTATCTATGTTGTCAAATTTATTGGCATAAAATTGTTTACAATATCCCTTTAATATATTTTAATTTCCTGAAGATCTGCACTAATGTCCCTTTGGTTTTCTTTGTTTTTTTGAGAAGGGACTTGTTACATAGTTCAGGCTGGGCACTATGTACACACTATGTAGCTACACACTATGTAGCTGAAATCAGCCGCCAACTTAGCAATCTTCTTGCCTCAGCTCCTGCTTCAACTTCCAAAGTGCTGGAATTACAGGCGTATGCAACCATGCTGGACCCTTTTTCATTTTTAATAGTGGTCATTTGTGGCTTCTCTCTTTTTCTTTATCAGTTTATAGAAGTATTATAAATACTGATCTTTAAAAAAAAAATCAACTGTTTTGTTTTTTCTTTATTGTGTGACACTACCTTAGCAGACAGCAATTCCTCTGGCTGACTTTATTATGAGAGTGTGCTGTGTATAAAGAACTGAGTGTAGCCCAAAGAATAGGGACAAAATTCCCAGAAAGCTTCAACTCTTGGAACAGAACAGTGAGATCAAGATATTTGGCTACACCCATCAGATACGTGAAATCTGCTGAACTTGGACAATATCTATATCACAATAACTTTTTGAATAAGACAAAGATTTTTTAAAAAAACTCTTGCATTATTATGTGATACACAAATTTCTACAACTTTATCCTTTCATCAGTTACATACTGAGAATAGAAATAGACATGCAAGCTGGGTGTGGTGGCTCATGCCTGTAATCCCAGCACTCGGGAGGCTGAGGCAGAGGGATTGCTGCGAGTTTGAGTCCTTACTTTGTGGGCTACAAAGTAAGCTGAAGGCCAGCCAGAATGGTATAGCAAAACCATGCCTCAAAAAGACAAAAAACACAAACAAAAAAACAACAAACAACAAAAAACAAAATGAAAATAAAAGAAGAAGAAATACTTATGCAGGACTGCAATCTGTTGCTGGATAATGGCGTGCCTTACCAACAGCTTTTCCTGTTTGTACCACATTCCGGCTGGTTGTAACCATCGCGTTTCCAATTTTTTTGCCACGTTCACTATTCTGAACAGAACTGAATAAGAGAGACAAGTGTTAATACAACTAAAAACAAAAACAACAACAACAACAAAAAACCCTCACATTATACATACATATACATTAATCACCCTATAACCATCCCAAATCAGAATTACTAACAAGCTGAATTTTTGTGATGAAAACTAATTTATGAACTTCTTATATGTGTGAATTTTCAGAATAGACTAAAAAAATACAGATGAATCAAAAAGTGGGGAGGACATAAGTATGGTTAAGTCTTCTCAAAAGATACGATTTGCTAAAGACACTTCATCCAGGGAAGTCCTGCTATTAGTTTATATCATTTCCATGGGATGGAAGTGTCTTTACCTGAAACACACATATTTTTTTTTTTTTTCCTTCTTATCGGTACCAGGGATCGAACTCACGACTGCCTGCTTGCAAGGCAGGCGCTTATGCTGCTGAGCTAAATCACCAGCCCCTGAAACACACATATTACTGAGCTAGAGAATGTTTTGCACATATTTATTTGGTTACTATTTGAAGCACCAGTTTATTAAGTAGAGAAACAAAATTCCTAATGAGTACAAAACATGTGGCATAAATTTAGAAAAAAGAATTCTCCTCTTATTTTTTCTAAGTACTTACTGTGACAATCTTAACTTCATGTCTGACATGGAATATTGGCCTTGAAATGGATGGCTGGAAAACAAAAAAGTTTGAGTTCAGATTATGAGGGTTTGTTTGTTTAATTTTTACCAGTAAAGCCACAAAGAGTTATCATAAGAAAATGAAAGTTTTGGTAAATCTCTTAGGGTGACAGCTGAGTGGTAGTGCTCTGAACTTGCTATAAGGGAATCAGGTTTGGACCCCCAGCTCTCTTTATGCTTCCTGAATCAAACAGTATACTTAACTTTTCTGAGTTTTAGTCTCCTCCTTGTTAAACAGTGTATGGGGTGTATGTGTGTGTGTGTGTTGGGGGGACTGTGCCTGTATATCACCCTGATATTCTGGCTTATTAGCTCTGAAGTGAGGGCCCAAGTATCAACCTTTCTTTCTTTCTTTTTTGAGATCAGATCCCTCTTGTCCATGCTGGCCTCAAATTTCAGAGCTCAAGGGATCCTCCTACCTCAGATTCTCCAGTAGATGAGACTATAGGCATGTGCCACTGTGCCTGGCCATCAACATTTTTTAAAAGCTTCCCAGGACAGTCAGGATTAGTCACTGATTTAGATCATGGTCATGGATTATATCATGATCCTAGTCATCTTATAAATGTGCTATATTGGTCATGAAGAGATCTGTGGACGGACCAAAAAAAATCATACTTTTGTCACTCACATACAAAAAGCAACTCAAGATGCAGTTCTTGGCTGAGTGTAGTGGCATGTATCTATCATCCCAGCACTTGGGAGGCTGAGGCAGGAAGGCTGCTGTTTAAGATCAACTTCAACTAGTGAGACCCTGTCTCAACACACACACACACACACACACACACACACACACACACACACACACACAAAGAAAGCAGTTCTTAAAAATGGCATTATGTTTTAACAGGGAACTTCGTAAGTCTTACTTCCCTACTTCTATTACATGAAAGGAAATGCTGTATTAAAAAAAAACAACCTAGGGGACCAAGGGAGGAGGTTTAATTGAGGTCACCTTGGAGAATATATAGTAAAACTGCACCTCAAGCCAAAACCGAAACACACACACCCCATAAAAACACACAACTTGATTATCTACATATAACACTTCTTCCTCTTCTGGACTCTTGAACCCACGCCTGGGCAGCTCAGAGGTCATACAGCTACTGTCTCTACTCCAGAAAGGTGGTGTTAAGGCTGAAATGTACCTGCTACATTTACCGAGGGCCTAGGTTTCTTAATCTATAGGAATTGAAGAAAGATTAAGAATTCCTTAATCTATAGGAATTGAAGGGTTCCATAGATCTTAAGACTACAATTAATTTGGAATATTTCTGAATTATATCTCCTGACAACAACTGAAGATTATCTGTTCTTTTTTTTTTGGTGCTGGGGATTGAACTCATGACCTTGTGTTTGCCAAGCAGGCACTTACACCGCTGAACTACATCCCCGGCCAGATTATCAGTTCTTTTAAACAGGTGACATTGTAGGAAATATGCTACAATGGCTGTATAATTATCTCAAATATCTATTTAACAGGTGGTTCTTCAGCCTTCATTTACCTAGATGACCTCAATTTCTTTAACTTTCTTCTTCTTCTTTTTTAATGGTACTGGGGATCGAACTCACAAACACTCGCTTGCAAGGCAGGCGCTTATGCCGCTGAGCTAAATCCCCAGACCCTCTTTAACTTTCTTTATGAGAACTATTTTAGTCTTACATAGCTCTCTCCAGCTAAGCTTCCCATGGCCTGATCAAAGAGTGCAGAGCTGGTTGGTCAGGCAAGTCTCAGGCACCAGAGGTGCAGGGTGCAGGGATGCTTCACGTGCAGACACGTCCGTGCACCAGGCCAGGCCCCAGCACAGCAACCCTGTGGTTCCCCACAGCACAGTCAGAACAGACGACTCTGAAGTCTTAGACTTTCATTTGACATCACTAAGTGGTTTTGCCTTTTTACTTGCTATGCTTTTACTACAGTGCTATATAGGTTTCTACTGTAGCCAAATATGAGAACTAAATTCACCAAAACAAGTGTGAAACTAGTAATTTTTCTTGCCAGATGGCATAAAGCTTAACAGACACATTCTGTGAAGTCTTTTCACGTCTTCCCTCCCACATGATGCGTCTCCAGGCTGCTCTGGCTCATCTCTCTTTGTCCAGGGGTGTCCTTTCCAATTCCCCTTCAATCACTATCCCATTTTAGCTAAATAAAGTTCACCCTGGCCCCAGAAGATACGGGAATCAACAAAAGCTGGCGTTTGCCTATTTCTTGCCAAGTGGAAAATACAATGAAAGAAGTTAGTACATTCTTGGTTAAAAACTCATTTAATCTTTTAAAAGTAGTTCTTTTTTTTTTTTTTGGTCTTTTGTCTTTTTCTTTTTTATCAGTACCGGGGATTGAACTTCATGACCACACACTTGCAAGGCAGACGCTTATGCCGGTGAGCTAAATCCCTAGCCCCATAATCTTTTAAAAGTAGATCTCCAGTTGATCTCTTTAGGCTCGACTCGCACTCATATCCAGATGTTTTTCTGTTACTGTGTCAATGTATGGTATGTCTTTGTGCCTATGTGGAGTAAAGCCTTTGTCCAATAGTCTATAGAGTGGCATATTAACTGTGCTGAATGTTAAGATTATGATGGATTTCCTGACAGGCTTCTCCCTCATTGGACAATTCTGCTAAAGTGTGGCTTCAGGGAGAGAGAAAACCATCACATATGAGCACCACTGTGTACCAGTATCTCCCCTCTGAACCACATCAAGAGCTGGAGAAACGTTAGTGTTTCCCATGGTGTCCTGTGCTTTTTGTGTAAAAATTTAAGAATATGCCAGGAATTCAGCTCAGTGCCTACCAGTCAAGTATGAGATCATGAGTTTGATCCTGTGTACCACAAACAAACAAACAAATAAACAAACAAAGAACTCCCAAAACTTAAGAATATGAAAGGAGTTTTTAGCCTGTTTTTCTATATGAAGACTTTTTACAGCCCACTTAAGACGATTACTGAAGACAGTCACAATATTAAAGACATGATTCTGATTGTACTGGGCACTTGGTAAAGCAACCGGTTTATGTAGAATTGCTTACTGGTCTCCAAAGGATGCGCTTACTTTGGGTTTATTTCTGCAAGTGCTGGATGCTTGTTGCTGTTCCATACCCTGTAGTTGTGAGTATTCTTCCATGCTGTAACGAAAGTGGTCCCATAGTCTGACAATATCTTTTCATTATCTGTCAAGTAAACATTTGAAAGAAGGTGAGCTGGATGGTAGCCATTCAAGGAGATGAAGATTAACAATCATGAAGGGTAAAGGAATGGCTTAATCCATTTACCCACCCTTTTATTTTTTTCGAGAGGGCCTACCAGATGTCAGGAAACTTGGGTTTAGTTCCAGAAATCCTGTTAAGAAGCTATATGGCTTTGGCAAATCACTTAATCACTCAGAACTTCAATTTCCTAGCTGGAAAATGAGAGGGGTGGGCTAGATATTTTCTAAGGATCCTTACAACTCTAAACTGTTCGTATGTTCTCTTTCCCATTATGAGGACAGTTTTATTTATTAAACAAAATGTATAGGTTTGATATGAATAAACCTACTGGTTTATACATATGGAGAAAGCAATTAGGATCTCTTCCTATATTTTCACAAATGTTATTTTTTTTTACAAAAATATTAAGACGGAATACATAAACTGGTTTTAGCCATTATTTCCTATTGTGTAGGCTGTAACTCACTACTTGTTGCTTCATCCTTAAGATTTAAAGCATTTCACTGTCCAAATACTTAAAAATGGGAATTTAAATTCAATGCCTAAAAGCTTTCAGCTTTATCAATACCATGTGAAAGCTTCAATGTATAGCATTTGTTCAATTTGGAAAAAGGAAATGTTTGGAGAACTGACTCAACGGTTATTGTTTCATGAGGTATAACTTAAAATTATGAATGTTTACTTCTAAAAAATTTATTACAGTAAGACAAATTGTCAAAAATCCCTAGCAAAACACCTCCTGTTTCTTTGGTACCCTTAACCATGCCTCTTGCCATTTTCTGAAGCAGTTCTGAAGTCCTCTTTCATGACTGTCATTAGTTCTGATTGTCTTTAATACCTTGTTTCCAAATGTTTCCCTTTCTTCATCATTTTGACTTTGGGGAAGAGCCAGAAGTTGCATGGGGTCAGATTCAGTGAATAAGGTGGATCAGGATGCACTCTCATGTTTTTATTAGCCTGTCTTTTTGTTGAATGGCACTTGGCAGTAGCATCTACCATATTTTTTATCACTCTTCAATAAAGACATTCATAAAGAAGACTTCCAGAACTGCTTCAGAAAGTAGGGAGAACTGGGGGTCATGTGTGTTTGAAGAGACGGTAAGTATTTTCACAGGAGTTCATGGCAATGTCTCTTGTTAACAGTTTATTGGGCTCAATTTCCTCTCTTAATCTCATTAAGGGCATGGGCTTGAGCCAGATTGGGTTTAAATTCTAGCTCTGCCTCTTAACCAGCTTCATGTGAAAGCTACTAAGTTTTCTGCAGCTCACTCTTGGGATTTTTTTTTTTTTTTTTTGTCTTTTTCATTTTTATCGGTACCAGGGATCGAACTCACGACCACCTGCTTGCAAGGCAGGTGCTTACGCCACTGAGCTAAATCCCCAGCCCCCTGCAGCTCACTCTTTCCTGTACATTGGGGAGGATAAAATAGCTACCTCCAGAATTGTTGAGGATGAAATGAATTATTAGGTATAAAGAGCTAAGCATAGATCCCTACACATAATAAATGTTAAAATAAAAAGTCAGCTAATATTATTATTCAGTGTTTTATGGACCCCTGAGCAATATTTTTAAAAAGTAAATTTATTCAATTACTCATGAAGCCAAAGACTGTGGCAGAGAATATCCTACCAACAAATTAGGACATGCTTGTTAAGTTCCCTTTACAAATGAAGAAGATGCCCAAAGCCTGGATTTAAAGCTTCATATATACGGCATAAAGAACTAACCTGTGAGGTGGTAAAAACTGACTTAAAAACCTGCTGACACAGCACTGTGAATGTACTTAATGCCACTGTGGAGTTATATATTTAAAAATGTTAAACTGAGCATGGTGGTACATGCCTGTAATCCTAGTACTCTGGAGGTTGAAGTAGGATGATTGCAGGTTGCCGCCCAATTTAGGAACTAAATAACTTGATGAGACACTGTCTTAAAAAAAACAAAGGGCTGAGACTGGGTGCAGTAGCACATACATGTAATCCCAGCACTTGGGAAACTGAGGGAGGAGGATCACTGTGAGTTCGAGGTCAGCCTGGGCTACACAGTAAGTTCAAGGACAGCCTAAATGACATGAGACTGTCTCAGAAAAAGAGGTGATGGTGCTGAGGATATAGCTCAATGTGAAGACCTTGAGTTCAATTCCCAGTTCCACAAAAATATAAATAAAAAAGGTTAGATAGTAAATTTTATTATGTGTATTTCTTCACAATTTAAAAAAGTAGAAATTGAGGAGAGAAAATTCAAGTTCAACATTCTTTTATTAACAACAACAAAACTCCTGAGAATCTGCCCAATATCTATGGTAGAAAAGTGCATCACAGAACTCCACTTTCACTTTACATATATTTTCTTAGAGCAATTAGGTTTTTTTTTTTGAGTACTGGAGGTTGAACTTAGAACCTCATGCTGGCCAAGGAGGTACTGGGCCACTGAATTATAACACTGGTACCAAGCAATTAGTTTTAACCCAGGAGTTTATCTATTTTTACTTGTCCCAGTTTAACCATTTAATAGGAACAATAATATCCCTTAGAATAGGGTATAAATTTAAAGGTTTACTCACACTCAGAATGTGTTTTTTACTGAGGGACAAAAATCAGTATTTATTGTTTTCATATAGGTTTGTGTTTCCATTATAAAGGAAGAAATAGTAAGTTTCAGAAAACACACCTAAAGGGATTCATTTTTGCAAAAGGACTACTAAAAACACCAAGGGGGCCAGGTGTGGTATGCAAATCCAAAATCTATATAAAGAAAATGGTCTGGAGGAATACTAAGTACTCAAAATATTAAGAATCTCTGTATGAGAGAGTAATGGGATTTTTTATAGTGAACACATTTTTGTATAATTCAAAACATCATGATTACAAAAAAGTGGCAGTGCACTCATGGTTTCTCACCTAGATGTAATGTGGCAGCCAGCAGGGCATGGATGTAGATGGCAAACTGGGCCCGGATCCACTCGTCACCTCCCTCCCAACCTGTGCCATCCAGGAAGACATCGTCACGGTTCTCGGTCACATGCCTCACCAGGTAATCTGCAAACCTGAGGTCTGCAGTGGTGGGGTGAAGCAGCCTCCTGAGTTCTGGGTCCTGGATCTGGATCAGAGCTTCTTCTACCTAGAGGGTATCCAGGTACAAGTCAGAGTCTGGGTATTCAGGCAGATATCCATGCCACACTTTAAAGAGCAACTACTGGGAAGTTGGGAGCTGGAAATAAAAAAATATGAATAACAGCACTCTCAAAAGGCAAGTCTAAAGAAGATACAGGTGTTTACACTAAAGTCTTTCTTTTTGCATTTTAAAAAATATTTTCTGCTTTTTAGAAAATGTATGTATATATACATTATTTTGAATTAGAAAATAGTTCATGTTGATTGTATCTAGAAAATACAGATATATATATACAGTAAAATCATCTTTATCTCACCTACAGAAATGACCTTAAGTATAATTCTTCAAAAGTTTTCTTTCAATGCATAATTTAGAATATCTTTATGATATACAGAGAAATACATATAACTTACATATTAGTTTTGAAGTAATATAATAAACTGAACATCTATGAGCCTCCTTGAACATCTCCACTAGATTGGACCAATGCTGCTATCTGTACTTCCTATCCTGGTTGGTATATATATTTTTCCTTCCTCAAACTTGAGATCAAAATAAACAGAACCTCAAATCTTGGATTTTTCATTTACTATAACCATTTCCCCCATAAAGCCTGTATTTTGTATCAAAAAGTGGTTAAAATTTTTTTCTTTTTTAAAAAATTACTCCCAATATAAAATTAAACAAATTAAAATTTTAATATACTGATGTCAAATATGTACTCTTAGCTTCTTTAACAAGGGAACAGTAAACAAGCTAGAAGCATTCAGATTATCTGAACAGTAATTTTCATAATCATGAGATGGTGGGCTCATGCTTCCCAGTTTGCATTCCTGGGCTACCCATGTCCTATTCTTAATTTCCTTAGATAAAAAGAGTAACAACATCTCTGCTTAATGTTACACCTCCCCTTCACAGGGCTGTTACAAGAATTCAAAGGGTTAATGTATATAAAGCATTTAGGATGCCCAATCCAGCAAGTAATTATCACCCTATTATTAGTGTTGTTATATTTTCATAACTGTTATTTCAGAAAAGAACACAGGGCCCAGCATGATTCAGCGCGTGCACTCAGACGCAAACATACTTCCACAATGGCATCGCTGAGGTGTTTCTGTTGTCGAAAAAGGATGTTAGTAGCTCCAGCAACAAATCCCCGAACGGTGACATCAGAGAGAAGGTGATGCTGCTGCAGGGCCATGTAGGGCAAGCACAGATATCCCTATGAATCACAAGAGCACCAGAAAGTATCAGGAAGGAAAAAGAATGGCTCTTTCTATATTCAAGCTACCAGCAAGAAGGTGGACAGTCCCAGAAACACCCATCTCCCTGTCTGGCTCCACATAGCTCATACTTGACTGACTCCTCCAGAATTCCAGGGCACCTTGGATTTCCACTGCAGTATCCAGTTTCCAATCAGCTTATCTTCAGTATAAATGGCTGAATATGGGTGAGGTGATTTACCATGAAGGTTGTTTTGCTTGACTATTCTGTTTCTGGTTCATTGCAAAAACCTCTAAAGCACTGAACTGGACTTTTTATTTAGAAAAAAATTCTAAAGTTTCTCAAAAAGTACAGAATATTGTTTAGCAGAAAACATAAACATATGTATCTGCACATAGTTCTCAAAATACTAGTACAAGAATAGCAAGGTACTGCATTGTTTTGTCTTACTGTCAAAAATCTTGCAAAAAGTCAAGATATTTGCTTCAATTTAAGGGAAAAATGACACTGGCGGTAACTGTGGATTTAGTGAATTTTCACTTGATTATATGATTTTTTTTTCTTTTGTAGCAGGAATTGAACTGAGGATCTTATGCTTGCCAAGCAGGTGCTGTGTCACTCAGCTATATCTTCGGCCCCCTGAATTGTATTTGAAATAGCATTCCCTTGAAAATTACAGATTAGCCAAGTGTGGTGGCACACCCCTATAATTCCAGTACTCAGGAGGCTGAGGCAGGAGGACTCACATGATTTTGAGCTCAGTAAGTTCAAGGGCAGCCTAGAATGCTAGACCCTGTATCAAATAACCAAATAGACAAGATCGGGCACGTTCAGGGTGGTATGGCTGTAGCAAATAACCAAATAAAAATTACCCCAGTAGGTACTGAAGTAAACAAAAACCAAACTGAAACAAATGAAACAAATACACAAAAACCCCAAATATGCCAGTATACTTCTGGAGAGTAAAGGTGTCAACATTAGAATGATTTCTCAAGAAAGTAACTTCTGCTGCAAGATGGTACACATCTGAATAGTGGTGTGGCTTGTATATAAAGTCAGGAGGGCAGATTTGCTGAGTCCCTGAACTTTGTTTTAGCTTCAAATTCTACAGTAGTTTTCCTTCTTCTCATGCATTGTTGAGTACAGTTGCCCAAATGATACATCCGATAAGCTGATTACACCCTGAGGCAAGTGAAAGACAAGAGCTACAATTTGAATGACTCCAGATTCTTCACTGCAATTAGGGTGCTCCTCATAGATGGTTGTTAAATACTTAATACAATAGAGAAGAAATTGGAATACAGGTCTAGTAACTTGATTTTGTTTTCTTAACAGCTTCTTCCCAATAATAAAAGCAGCAATGATAAATCAGTGTCTATGCATTAGTTTCTTAGTATAATGCTTCTCAACTCAGGCATCTTGGTACTAAATACTCAAAGGATGGAACCTTGATCTTCACTGCGAACCACTCAGTTGAAACAGGTTTAGGGCTTATGGTTCCTGCTTGATTATATCCAAAAGCAATGTAAAAGCAATAGATGGCTATCTAAAAGCAATAGATGGCTTCTTCACCTGCAAGTCCCCTTTTCCAAACAAACTGGTAATACTGAATGCTTTTTCACACCTGATTTGGCCCCCAGAGAATATCCACTCGCCAGTTGGAGTGAGAATCCTTGATAAAGGTACTCTTAAGAACTGCCAGTTATTACAAAAGATTTATACTGCAAAAGTTAATAAGAGAAGTTAGCTGTTGACTGTGCTATATTTCATAACAGATTCTGTTAGCAAAGGAGTCTACCATCAACTGTGGGATTCTTGGCTAGATACAACAGCAAGCAAGAAGCACTGTATGTTTTTTAAAAAAATAAGGCTTCTACACTCAGCAGCCCTTTAATGAAGAAGGCCTTAATGAAGAAGGAAATCTGTCATATGATAGCTACGACATAGGTGAACCCAAGGGCACAGAATCATCATGAGCTGTGGGGCTAAGGAGGTGCGAAAGCACACTTAGCCTCATCCCATGTGACATGGAGAAAGTAATAGGAGTAACAGATTGGCTTTCTCTTTTCTTCCCAGTCCTGAGTCTCCCTAGGTGTTAAGGTTTATGTCTAGATGTCCCCCTAAAGCCTCATGTAATCAAGGTGTGTGGGCTTCCAGAGATGCTTAAATCTAGAGCTTGTGACTGATTCATAGTCTAATGTTGGGATTATGATTGTGAGTGCTACACAAGCACTAGGAGAGGTAGCCTGCATATAATATAAGGGCTAGAAAGAGGCTTGTTGCTTTTCCTGTTATGAACAGTTGCCCCTCTGCTATGTGCAACCGTGCCTTGCAGCTGGCTGATTATGGCCTAAAGCCTCTACAAAGTGTGACCTAAATAAACGTTTTCTCCGTTAACTTTGGACATCGGGTCTTTTGGCAATGAGAAAAGTAACTAAAACACTAGGGCAGGGAGGTCAATTCTAACAGTCACCCATGGCTTGAAGTGGAATTACAAATCTCCATCCATGTGGAAATGCAAAGGGCCAAGAGACTCTTGAAGAACATGGCAAGCTAGGAGGACTTCTCCCCAGTGACAGCACTGTATGCAACCATTCACAGATAGACAAATATACATGGAACAGCAAATGTCAGAACAGATGCCCTGCCCAGCAGCATATAGAAATCAGTTCCAGGTAGCTAAAACATGAAATGTGAAAGGCTAACTTACAATGTTTTACAAAAGTAAGAGGATGTCTTTAAGACCTGAGGTCGGGGAGGATGTTTTACTATATTTTTTGGTTTGTTTTTTGAGATAGGGTATTGCCAGGCTAGCCGGAAACTCATTACATAGCCATGAATTCACTAAGTAGCCTAAGCCGGCCTCAAACTCACAGTGATTCTCTTGCCTCAGCCACTGACTGCTGGGATTACAGGTACTGCCACCATGCCCAATCAGGGGAGAATTTTTTTAAACAAGACTCTCAAAACACTAATATAAAATTAAAAAACTGATAACTAGCAAAGATACCTAGAAGTTTGACAAAGCACTGACAAACAGGAGACAAACCAGAAGGATTAAACCAATACTATTTGAACAAATACATGAAAAGGATAACTGAAGCCAGGTGTGGATGCATGGCTATAATACCAGGTTAAGGTGGAAACAAAGGAAATTCAGGCCCAGTTGGGCAACTTAGTGACATTCTATCTCAAGATAATGAATTTTTAAAGCCTGTGGATATATGTGTAGCTCAATGCGAAAATTCTGGATTAAGACCCCAGTACCTCAAAAAAAAGTATAGGGGCTGGGGGTTTAGCTCAGCAGCATAAGCGCCTGCCTTGAAAGCAGGCAGTCGTGAGTTCGATCCCTGGTACCGATAAAAAGGAAAGAGACCAAAAAAAAAAAAAAAGTATAACGAGTATATAAAAAAGTTGTAGAAATTTCACTAAAAAATACAAAATAAGAGTCGTAAGATATCACCAGATTGGCTAAAAATTACTGTTTGACAATATGAAGTATTGGTAGGAACATGGAACCATGAGAACTGCTATAGACTGCTGATGGGAATGGAAACTGTTACAACCACTTTGGAAATAGGCTGGAATTATGTAAGGCTAAAGATTTTCATTTCCTATGACAACTCTCCTTGAAGTACTGACTTCCAGAAAAACACTTGCATTTGTATAGCAAGATTCCTAAACAGGAATTTCATAGCAATATTAAAGTAGCCAGAAACCCATTCACAGTAGAACTGATGAAATACAGAACTGTTATAAGATACAAAACTCAAGTAAAACAATATACAATTTCATGCAGAAATACAGAAGCTGGGTGTGGTAGTGCACACCTTTTGTAAATTCAGCATTCTGGGAAGCTGAGGAAGGAGGATCACAAGTTTGTGGTATTTTTCTTTCTTTCTTTCTTTGAGACAGTTCAAGCTAGTCTTGAATTCACTTTGTCACCTTGAACTCCCAGTGATCCTCATGCCTCAGCCTTTTAAGTGCTGGGATTATAGGTTTGTCCCTCCATGCTTGACTTTGGGGAACGGTAAGTTTGAGGTCAGTCTGGGAAACTTAGTGAGATCTTGTCTGAAAATAAAATACAGGGTGGATATGTAGTCCAGGGGAATGGCCTTGGGTTCAGTTCCCAGTATGGAGAGGAACCCGAAGAGATAAACAATGCTGAGAGAAAAAATATGGTTCCATGTAAATAAAATTTATAGGCACGTACTCCTGTCATTTTAGCTAGTTAATCAAGTTATCTGAAGGTTCTCTAAATTTGAAAATAGCAATTTTAAGCAAGTAAATCAAGTATTATTTAGAAGCAATACTTACATGAGAGGCAGATAAATAGTATTTCCAAATGTGTATATTTTCATAAATTTGCAGTTCTAGCAAAGAAGTTATAGATAAACTAAAACTAAACTGAAACTTAAAAGAATTTTAAGTGTTATATTTGGTAAAGAAAAATGTGTATTTTTAAGAAGTATTAGCTATATACAATTTAAAAAACTTAACAAATGGCTTTTTGAAAAAGTTTAGACTCAGAACTTGGGCTGGGGATTTAGCTCAGCGGCATAAGCGCCTGCCTTGCAAGCAGGCAGTCGTGAGTTCGATCCCTGGTACCGATAAAAAGGAAAAAGCCAAAAAAAAAAAAAAAAGAAAAAAAAAAAAAGAAACAGACTCAGAACTTATAAAGTATCTGTTCCTTACACACACACACACAACACACACACACACACAGATTGAGATGATAAGCTTACTTAAAAATTGTTTTTCATGATAAGTAGTAACTGAAAGAAGTTCTAATTGAGTTTCATTTGTGGTAACTCAAGTGATTTTACTAAATGCTGACTATTACCTCATAGCTCTAAGTAGAAGGAGACTATAAGCAGGAATCACAAGTTTGTGGTATTTCTCTTTTTTCTTTGAGACAGTTCAGGCTGGCCAACTGCTTTGCTCAGTGCACCAATTCCAGAACACTTCTGAGAGGGAGGCATTAGATTTAGATTTGGAGAAATGAAGGAAGCTACTCTATCTTCCTCTGTCCTGCTCCATATCCCCTCTCGGCCACAGTGTCTCTCTGGTTACGCAGTGGCAGAGCAGGACAGTATAAACATTACCATATGTCCATTTCTTAGTTCTCATTCTGATCTCCACCATTCCCTTCCCATGGCACACAGAGGCTGCAGTCCAGCCTCCTGCTCCTCTCATCCCAGTTCTTCTATCTACTTCCTGACTGTGCTCAGCACCACCGGCATGTACATGGGAAACCGGACTTTGAGCTGACATGAGAGGTGTCCTTCCTCAGGCATGGTCAAAGACCAAGGGAAGCAAGCCAGACAGCTGATGCTGAGGCAGGTGGATCGCCATGAGTTCAAGGCCAGCCTGAACTACACAATGAGACTATGTTTAAAAAAAACCAAAAACAAACAACAACAAAAATAAAAACAAAACACACACATACACACAAAGAAACAAAATTAACAGACCAATATGCTTTGTAAGTACAGATGCAAAAATCCTTAATAAAATACCTGCAAACCAAATTAAAAAACACATTAAAAAGATCATACATCAAGTTGGTTTCACTGTAGGGATGCAAGGATGGTTCAACATACACAGATCAATAAATGTAAGGCATCACATGGGAGTCCAAGGTAATAAGCACACGAGCCTCTCAACTGATCCGGAATATACTTTCGACAAAATTCAACACCCCTACATGATAAAACCCCAGAAGAAACTAGGTATGGAAGGATCATACCTCGAATAAATAAAAGCACATTACAAACCCAGAGCCAACGTTATACTAAATGGGGAAAACAAAGCATTTCCTCTAAAATCAGTATTGGGACAAGGATGTCCACTCTTAAGACTTCTATTCAAAATAGTTCCTGAGCTTTTAGCCAGAGTAAATAGGCAAGAAAAAAACAAAGGAATATAAATAGGAAAAGAAGAAGTTAAATTATTCTTGCTTGCAGCTGATATGATCCTACACTTAGAAGACCCTAAGGATTCTATCAATAGGCTTTTAGACCTGATAAATAAATTCAGGAAATTTAAGAATCAACTTTAAAAATCAACAGCTTTTATATATACCAATGATGAATTAGCAGAGACAGAAATCAGGAAAGAAATTCTATTCACAATATAATCAAAACAAACGTATACCTAAGGACCAACCTAACCAACAAAGTGAAAGACATCCAGGTGAAAACTATGGAACACTGGGGAGAGAAACTAAAGACAAGACTTCCAAGGTTCACAGCACAACACATGTAGACCAATGCAACAGAATAGAGGATACAGAAAGAACTTCATGCAACTATGGACAGCTAATTCTTGACAAAGAAGCCAAAATACACACTGGAGAAAAGATAGCCTCTTTAACAAAGGGTGTTAGGAAAACTGGATATCCTAATGTAGAAGACTGAAACTAGATCCCTATCTTTCATCTTTTACAAAAATCCATTCAAAAAGGATCAAAGAATTAAAGTGTAAGACCTGAAACTTTGAAACCACCAGACAAAAACATAAGGCTATCAATCACTTGATCTCACAAGCATAAGTAAAAAGACTTCCTGTGTAGCATGCTAGTAACATAGGAAACAATAGCAAGAATTTAAAACATGAGGTCAGGTCAAATTACCTTCAGCAAAGGAAACAACAGAGTGAACAAACAACCTACAGACAGCAAGCAAATCTCTGACAGCTTCTCTTCTGACAGGATTAATATGCAGAATATATAAAACACTCAAAGGTTAATATCAAATATCCCAATCAACAATTGGGCAAATGAAGTGAACACTTACCAAAAGTAGTACTCATAGAATATGCAAATCAAAACTATAGTGAAGCCTGGAATGCATGAGGTCGAGTTTGATTCCCAGTACCAAAAAACAAGAACAAAAACAAACCTACAGTTAAATCTCATCTCACCACAGTCAGAGTGGCTGTCATCAAGAATATAAACAGTGCTGGTGAGGACGTGAAGGAAAGGAACCTTTCCTTCTACACTGCTGGGGAGAAAGCAAATTAGTGCAGCCACAAAGAAATCATTATAGAGGTTCCTCAAAAAAACTATAAATAGAACTACTATTCATCCTTGGTACCTACCTGAAGGAATTAAAGTCAACTTATACATAGGGATACCTTGCATAGCTATGTTTATTGTGACATACATGGCTATCATAGCAGCCTAGAGACAGCCAAGTGCCATCAACAGATGAATGGTGAAATGTGGTTTAGATACATAATGGGATAGTCATGAAGAAAATTTGTAGGAAAAAGGATGGAACTGAAGACCATCATCTTAAATGAAATAAGACAGACTCTGCCAACTACTGCATATTTCCCTAATATGTGGAGTTAAGAAAAAAACTGCAAGTAGGGGGGAAAAAGAAAGCTTGCTTTTCTTCTTTTTGGTATATGTGCTGTTGAAGTGAGTACTTTTCTCTTTTTTGACACAGGTTCTTGTTATGTTACCTAGGCTGAGCTTGAATTCCTGAGCTCAAGCAATTCTCCTTCTTCAGCCTCCAGAGTAGCTAGGGATATGTTACATCTGCAGTATTTTAATATATATTTATTAACTGCTATCAAGACTATCTGGATTTCCTCAATTCATTTTTTCCAAGAGAAATCTGAGTAATTAAAAACAGACCCAACAGAGTGTTGCTGACTTCATATAAACTAAATTTCAAAACTCTTTCCACTCAAAGCCCTCAGCATTACTTCCATATAGTTTTGTATTACCATCACAGATGTCACACCACTATACATTTAATTTTAAAAATGTGTTCAACACGCAAAGTTAAATTCCAAGTTCTCAATAAAAGACATAACATTTTACCTTTGTGAAGATGGCCAGGGGCATGCCATACTGGTCCTCTTCTAAACCTGAAATGAGTCCTGGTATCAGTACCACCTGTCCTGTGTTGGCTTGAGGTTGTACAGTAATTGGAGGGCTGTCTGAGGGCACAGAGTCTTTTAGAAATAAGTTCGTCTGATCTGACCCCACCTGTTGTTCCCTTTCTTTTGAGTTGGGATCTTCTAAGATACTAGGGTCCAAGGTTTCCCAGTCACTTTCTGAAGACTCTGGAGATGGACGAGATGGAGGTTTCAAATATTGAGTGGTATCAAGTTCTTGTCTTTTGCTGCAATCATCTTCTCTGTGGAGCAAAGGTTTTCCAGTCTTGATGGCAGTATCCCCTCCATGGTTTTCTACCATGACTTTCTTGACAGTCCCTGGACTAGCCTTTGAAAAATCAACAGCAACCCCAGAAAGAGAAGTATGTGTTGGGTGATTACTGTCCAGAAGCCCAGCATCTTCAGACATACTTTTGCGAGGTCTGTATTGAGAACAGTCACGGAGACCATGTTCAATCATGCCTGAAACACACAGTATTGGAGAGTGGCCTGTCTTACGACAATACAGAAAAAATTAAGAGCTGTATGCTCTGCTTTACATAGTGCAACTCTCTTGTAAAAAAATTTTTTTTGGTACTAAAGATCGAACTTACGACCTTGCACTTGCCAGGCAGGTACCTGTGTCACTGAGCTAAATCCCTGGCCTATAAAAACTTTTAAAAGCACACATTGCAGTAAAATTTAAAGAATACTTAGGCAAAAGAGAAAAATCTACTGCCAAAAGGAAAATGTCATATTACAATAGAAAATGTTGACCTTAATGAGTTCATCCTTGGATACTGCTACTACTGCAAATATAAATTCCAGTAAAGTTAAATAAAAGAACAAAGAAATATTGCTCTTCTCTTACCTGGAAAAAGGGATAACACAGTCATCAGTGCACCCACCAATTTATTCACTGGAGAAATATAAAAAAGAACCTGAAATAGATTCAATCAAAACTAAATCAGAAAATCTATGAGAACTTAATGTCAAAAGAAAAATTTTTAAAAAAGGAGGCTCTTTGTGGAAGAATAACAGTTAATCAATGTACAAATAATAGAAAATGGCCAATGGTCACTAAGACTGAAAGACTGTTGGGCCTATTAAATTGGTAACCACCACCTCAAACAAACGCTCAAACTGCATCACCAAAAAGTAGCACAAATAGTTATGAGCTTTCTGATGTCATATCCTGAGGATACATCATCATCTTTAGCATTCTTGCTAAAGTTTAATCTTAACTAGCCATAAGAAAACAACCATACAGCTCTAATCCTGTACTACGACTGTAGATTCTTTAAAAAACTGTCACTATTTGCTGAGCATGCTGGTGCACTCTGGGAGGCAGAGGCACGAGGATCCCAAATTCAGGGCTGGTCTATGCAACTTAGTGAGACTACCTCAAAATAAAAAATAAAAATGGGCTGGGGATACAGCTCCACTACAAAGCAACCCCAGTAGCCCCAGTAACCACACACACACACACACACACACACGTGCAAGTACATATGTAAGTGTGTAAGTACATATGCATACAAAGTGCCAATGCTACTAAATACAAAAAGAAATGAACAAACGAGAAGGAAAAGTACGAAGTGGTTAAAGTATCTGAATTTAGAGGGAGAATACCTGATCCCTGGCTGGATCCCAGACTGAAAACAACAGTCAGCTACAGATTTATTTCTGACATAGTAGAAAACCTCAAAAGTTATGTAATCTTTTTAATAATGATATGGGTAGAAAATGTAGCCTCTTACCTATTTTCTAAACCTGTAATTTTTAATGGGACACATATTACTAATACATCCTACTAATGGTAGGATGTATACATATCTTTATTACTTAGAATTATATACAACATATAAAACAAACCATTATTTAACTATTAATATATAATTTCTTATTAAAAGTTATGATGTGATGGATTTTTTTGTTGTTGTTTTTGAGACAGGGTCTTGCTATGTAGTTTAGGCTGGTCCTGAACTCACTATGTAGTCCAGGCTGGCCTTGAACTCATGGTGACCCTCCTGCTTCACAGGTGTCACCAGCATGCCCCCCTACCTTACTGGACAGAGTTTTGTGTCTAAAACTTAATTATGGAAAAGAATTCCTTAAGTGGAAAATCACTGGGCTAAAGCGGTATTTTTAAGGTAATGAACCACAGTGGACACGGTACACAGTTCATTCCCTAACATCTTTCCCACTGAACACAGTAAGATGGCATATAAAACTGGCCTTGTATACCAGGATGGCTCCTGAGTAGTCTAAACCAGAGGTCAGCAAAATTTTCCTATGAACAGCGAGTTAGGAAATATTTTGTTTTGCAGATCACAGGGTCTCTGTTACAAATACTCAATACTGTCCTATGGAGTAAAAGCAATCAAGAAGAGTAAAGGAACGGGTGTGATTATTTTCCATAAAACTTTACTTACAGAAATAAGCAGTGGACCAGATTTGGCTATAAGGCCTATCCTGAGGTCTACACTAATCATGGTACATCTTACATCTCTGAATTATAGAGAGGGCTGGAACCAATCAGTAGAGGCATATCTCTGACAACAATTTACCATTCAGGATTAGCCTGATAGGCCTAAGTGGAAGAACTGATGTGAATGGTTTGGGAAGAGGTGTTATCTCTGTCACCAGTTATGAGTGAGGAAGTAAACAGCCCAATTACTGTGGCCTTTCCTTCACTACAAGTGAAACCAGGCTCTGGATAATGCTAGCAATGTGGACTATACAAGATGGAAGAGCTGAGTACACAGGTCAGCCAACCCCAAACATTTCCTTTTTATTGAAATTAATTTTAAATTGGGTTTTCTATTGCCCACTATGAAGACTATCTTGATAACAAAATGAACTATCAAACTGCCTTGAGAAAGAACACACGGATTTACATTTCTAAAGCAGTGAAAGAGTATGTGTTTTAGCTCACAGTTTGAAAGGCAAGAAAACATCTAAATACTTTATCACTGATTCCCACTTCATCATGTAATTATGAAAAAAATGTCAATAAAAAATAATCTATTCTTCCTTCTACCCCTTTATGTCTCACCTTTTTTTCCAAGAGAATTAATTTAAACAGGATTAAAACCTGCAAAAACAAAGAACACTGTATTAAAATGAGAAACCCAAGTTTATTATTTGCTGTTTCCCATCCTCAAATATAATTATGTATTGTTTGAGAATTACAGCATTTAAAAAATACAGAAAAACATAAACATACTAAGATAGTAAACGTTACTTGTGTTCTTGAAAAATTGTGTCAGTTAAATCTAATTGAAATTATCTTTTTTGGAGGATGGTTCTATTTAACTTGAAATATTTGTAGATGTTCAGTGGAGATAATCAATAATATCTAGTGCAGTAGTGGAGAATCTACGGCATTCATGCCGCAGTAGGCATGCAGGGCTCTCTCTGTTGCACGTGAGCTAAGTGCTCCAGCATCAAAGCATCTGCTAACAGCACACACAGATGCTATATGCACGCTTGGAAAGTAGCAGTGGTATTAGGTAATGAAGTCACAAGCCATGGCTTACTAGTCACAACTTGCCTGAGTTTTTGCATGGATGGTCAGTGCACTCACAAGGATACATATATTTCCTTGCACTGGATGTTTTAATACATTTGTTTTCATTACAAGATTTTAGCTTTTCTTCTTATGAAAATTGAAATTTAATATTTAAGATTTAGCAAAGAGATACTCTTAAGTAAGCAACTGAGATTTTTAATTTTGTGCTGTCCCTTGGCATATTTGAATCTGTAGCATCAGATTAGGCTGTCTGCGAAGAACTTATCAAAATAAGAACAGGGATGGAATACACATATATATATTTGCTTGGATTGTCTGTCATTTTAGCACAGACCTCCCACAAGGCAGGAAATATACTCAGATGCCTTTTACAGAATAGATCAAAAGCTGGTGGTCAAAAGCAAATTCAAGAGGAACCCCAGCTGACAATGATTGCCATACATTGATTCAAGGAATATCCAACTCTTTAGTGTTTACTAACAGTTGGCTGTTTTTGACATAGGGATAGATTTGTATTGGGTGGTTCATCTTAAAAATTTTGTGTGTTTTTGTAGACTCCAAGTCTTGATCACCAAAACAAGACTACAATGCAAAAAGCAAAACTGAAAACACATAGTGGAGGATCATTCCAAGAGGCCTTTACAGAGTCATTTGGAGTGATGGAACACAAGGGGAATGCGTTATGTATTCTGTGCAGTCACAGTGTTGCATGTTGCACCTCAAGTGTCAAACAGCACATTTGATATCAATCACAAAAGAGTTGCCCAACATGGTGAAACTGAGAAGGAAACTTGAAGGGATATTGAGAAACATCATTTGAGTATCTTAGTTTTTGCAACTATCTTCCTAAAGCAAATCATCTGATAGCTGCCAACTTTTAAATTTTGCTGTACATAGCAAAACATGGTAAGCCACGCTCTGATGGTGATTTTATCAAAATGGTCGTGTAGTCTGGGAGTAATTTCCTTTTTCATGACTTCTCAAACAGGATAAAATTACACAACGCCATCTCTGAGATACCACTTAGCAGAAACACTGTTAAAAATCCAGTCTTACGAATGACTAGTGATATTAATCAGCTGCTCACCACTGACTTACAAAAGGCAGTCTGTTACTCCATGTGTTTGGTTGAAAGCATAGATATAAACAATAACACAAGCCTAGCAGTAATCTTGCTTTATGTTATTGGTAATATTATGATAGAAAAACTGGTAAAACTGGTGTCTTTGCCTGGAAGAACACAAGGGGTAGATATCTACAATGCAGTGACAGAGAATTTTTTTGTCACAAGACGTAAGACCAGAAAAAGTGATTTAAATTACTAGTGATAGAGCATCTGGCATGGTAGTGGGGGCAACATCTGGTGTCATATATTCTTAAACAAGCAAAACATTTGCACATTCATTTTGATTATATTATACATCAAGAGGCTCTCTGTGCTAGGGAAAGCAGCAGAAAATTAGATGTTACCCTAATGGTGTCACAAAAGTGGTGATTTACATCATGGTTTGTGCTCTTAACTTTCAAGAGTTTCAAGTACTTCCCGATGAGGAATAGGCACACTATAATGCTTTACTTATGTACAATAATGCCTGGTGACTAAGCAGAAGATGAATTCAAGAGAGATTTGTAGCTTCCTTGGATGAAATTAGGCTATTTATGAATGAAAAAGTACAAGAATATTCACAGCTTAACGACCTGGCCTAAAAGCCTCATGTTTTTTTTACAGATTTTATACTACATTTCAATGTACTGAAGAAAAAAACTATGAGATATAGGGAAAACAGCAAAAAAGATGTTTTGTGCCAGGGATATAGCTCAGTTACACAATCGCCTACCTGGCAAGCACAAGGTCATGAGTTTGATCCCCAGTACAAAAAAAAAAAAAAAAAAGAAAAAAAAGACACAATGTTTTGTGATATCAAAACATTTTAGGGAAATCTGTAAACAATCTTACAAACCATCAAATATATAAGGAATTTTCTAGTACTATAACGGTTGCAAAGGACAATTTTAATAATAGATTTTTATAGTTCTGTGATTTGGAGACAACCCTCTATTATTTTTCCAGATAAAAGCCAAATTTAAAGAACTTGATTTGTCCCACTTACAATGGTTAAGAGTTTGGAAATCTTGCCAGGTGCAACAGTGCATGTCTGTGGAAGACATGCACCCCAGTATGTGGAAGGCTGAGGCAGGAGGACTGCCATTAGTTCAAGGGCAGCCTAGGCTACAGGGAGCTCCTGGCCAGCTTGAACTACACAGAAAGATCCTGTCACAACAAACAAACAAACAGAAAAAGGAAAAGAAAGATTTTGAAGTCTGTAAATGGAGTTAATTGATTATTTTAAGAAGGCTCTATCTGGAAAAACAAATTCTATGACCTGCATGCAACACTTGAGAATATAAAGAACCCAGAATATAAAGGGATGACAAAGCACAGCACAGTCTGAAAATGAAATCTTTAAAGTATGGAATTATCTGGCAAATAATTTTTAGTCAATGAAAGCACTTAAGATTGCTTTTCTTACTTTGTTTGGATCATTTTATGCTTGTGAGCAGCTGTGTTTAGCTTTGAATTATATCAAATCTCCTACAGACTAGAAACAGACTAACAGATGACTCGAGTGCCAGATATGTTGCTCTCAAATTAACAAAGTATGAGCCAAGATTTGACAAATTATCAGCATGCATACAACAGCAAAAATCATACTAACTGTGCAAAAACATGCTGAATTTAAACATCCACTTTTCAATGAAAAGCTGCTTGTATCACTGAAAGTTCTGTTATTGTGTTTGTCTTTTAAGACAAAAGATGAGTTTTTTTTCTAAACTAAAACTTCAGTATTCGGGTTTAATTGCTGTATTGACTGACACTTTGCGATAAGTGGGTTTGGGGTTGCAGTTTGGTACTTGGTCTCTAAATGGTTTGCCATTACTGGTCTATTATGACCCAGTAAAAACACAGTTTAACAAGATAAATCACAATCCCCAGCACCAAAACCAAACCAGACCAAAAAATACAGATCAGAGAATAAGGACGTGTATTTTATTGGAAAATATTCTCTTCTTAGGGCAGCATAAAAATATTTTGAAACATTAGAGCACATTTCTTTTTCTCTAACCTCTTGATAGCTAAAATGACAAAGACTTCAGAAAACAAAATCCTACCCCCACAGAGTAAACAGTATTTGTAAATGTAATATACTTCTTTTATAAGTTTTGTGATACAAGAATGCCTGACACCTTTGCATAATTATGAAATCAAGCATAATCTGCAACTGATGTAGTTATTAGATCTGACAGTAAAAGGAATACATTAAGAAGTATCTCACTGAGGTATCATACCTTGTGTCGAAAATGAAGGACAAGATCTCGAGGAGACAAACCTACAATGTGAACAAAAAAAGCTAATCTGTGACTATAATCTACTATTTTTGTTGAAAGTTGGGGTTTGTAAAAAAAGAAAATCTGCAAATACTCAAACATTTATTTAGTATTTGATCAAACACACATATGCTCAGAAATAGTGCTGTCCAACAGAACTTTCTGCAAATCCTTGCAGATGCAAATGTTTATGCCTGTCCTGTGTAGCTGAAATGTGGCCAAATGTGACCCACAACTTTTAAACTGTATTTAATTTTTATTAATTTCTTTTTATTTAAAATTTTTGTCAGTCTATGTTTGCAGTACATGATTACATTCATCACTGGGAGTTGGTACATGCATATAACACATCTCAATTCTTTTTGCCGTTTCCTCATCTTCCCCATTAAATTCAATATAAATGCAGACAACTATAAACTGCTAGTAGTTACTGTTGGGACATTACAGATCTAACATCCTCCTCCAGTCTACAAATATAACTCTAGAAGTCAATCATTTAAGCATGGTTTTGGTCACTGCAACTCATTTCCCAGTCATCTGCCTCAAACATCAAAGTACAAGAGCAAATAATTTAGAGGAAATCATGCCCTTAGAATTGACGCTAACTAGCTTGCATTACACACATGATTGCAATTGTAAACTACCACCATCTGGCTATTTCACACTGGAATAGGAACTGAGGGGGTAGAAATCAATGAGTGATTACAATTTTATTATGAAGATGATTTATTTTATTATGAAGATGACTCTGAGTTCCTTAGATACCAAAGGATATTCTGGGTTGTCAAGATAGTATAAATTATTTTGAAAAATCTTAGAAAGTAACTGAGTTCGCTTTTTCTTCTCTTTCCCCTTTTACATAGGGAATTGAGCTGGTCAGCATTAAAGTAAGGAAGAGAGGTTCAGGGATATAGCTCAGCAGCACAGCACCTGCCTGGCAAGCATGAGATTGTGAGTTTGATTCCCAGTGCTGGAGGGGAAGAAAAAAAAAAAAGGGAAGAGAGTAAGCTTCCATTACTATTTTACTATTCTGAAAAAGCAGAAATTTTACCTTCCACAATAGTATTAGTGAAAGTTGCCACGTATGTCATCACAGCCTTTCTTGGTATAAACATAGCTAGAGGATCTTTAAAGAACACCAGCACTGACTACAAAAAAATTCATGCCCCCCAAAGACATGAATTCTGATCATGACATTTTACATGCAACTCAGCTGAACAGAAAAGACAGTTTCTCTGACTTGTACAGAAGTTACTTACCAAGATACACTTGGGATCCTTCTAACGAAGTTCCTCCCAAGGAACTATTCATATGTTCATAAAGTTCCTATAAAACATTGAATTTAGATCATTTTTGATACTGAATTAGAAACACGATCAGAAAACAGACGATTCTTGGCTTGAGGCAGTTTATTTTGCTAGATACTCAACTCAGAAACAATTAAGCCTTCTCTGAAACTGCCAGTTTCCAGCACTCATTTCCTACTTTCCTGACATGAATTGTATCACAAGAGAGCTGGGCAAAAGTCAGAGAACTTAGGGATTCCTTTTCTCCCTCCTCATTTCTTGCTAACCTCACTAGATACATTCACAAATCAGTATGAATTTATTAGGATAAATTCCCTGGCTTCCTCACTAGATTCCTACCTACCCCACTGTCACCAGCATCTGGAAGAGAACCAGAATGCGCACACTGAGAACAGTGTTCAGAAAAACATGTCTCTGCCATTAAGAAAATAACCATGTGGTTTCTCTAGTTCAAGTTATTAGGAACTAGGAACTAATAAACACACTGTGCAGCTTCTTTGTAAAATAAACAAATTTACAGAAAGAATGCCATAGCAAAAAGGCTATTATTCACTAAGAAAAACATGTAAGTTATTTACAATCATTATTTCCTAAAATAGTTTGGCTAAATTTATGTTTACTTTATTTTTGGTTTTTTGAAAGGGTCTCACTATGTAGTTTGGCCTTCAATTCACTATGTAGCCCAGGTTGCCTTGAACTCTTGGCAATCCTCCAGCATCAGCCTCCTGAGTGCTGGGATTATAGGCACTCACTACTATGCCTGGTTTGGTTGAATTTAGAAGTATCCTGGCAGAGTCATGGTCCTTCTATGTTTTAATATAAATGGATTTTCAAAGAATGTCTTTTTAAAATTTTTTTTGGTGATATTGGGGATTGAATTTAGAGGTTTCATACTCAACTATATCCTCAGGCCTGTTTTTTGAGACTAAGTTGCCCAGGCTGGGTTTGAACTTGCAATTTTCCTGCCTCAGCTTCTCAGTGCTGGGGTTACAGTCATCCATCATCATGTCCAGTTAAGAATGTCTTTCTTAAGCTTATAAATGATTGTCCTTCACAGAATTAGACAAGATTTACTTGATTAATTAATCTATCTTTAGCCAAATATATCTATAAAGGAATATAAAGTTACCTTTAGAATAGAAATTTGGGAAAAGTCCTTCTCTTCAAAATATGCATGTGTAATGAGCTGAAGTTTTGCTTGAAGTAAGCCATAAAGAGGCTTAAAGGAAGAGAAATTATCATTAGGTTGATAAATAGTAGCAACAACAACCACCCCTAACAGCTTTTTAATTTATAGAAGCCAGGGAGGAAAAAAAAATGAGTAACTGTCAACGTTCGGGGCCTTGTTACTCACGGATGGCAGCTGACATCATCTGTTTTAACTCTTGGGCTAAGCTGGGAGGTGCTCAGTACCCTAGTAATATCAACACTCAGCTTCCTGGGCCTGGTCCATCAGTCTGCTACAATCCCTGGATATTCAACCTGTCCACATTTGCTTGCCAACAAGACAGTATGACTTTTTGTTTTGTTTTTGAGATACACTCTCACTGTGTAGCCCTGGCTGGCCCCAATCTCAAGATCCTCCTGCCTCAGCCTCCAGAATGATAGGTGTACTGCCCAGTTGATAGTGTACTAATATGGCTGTTTTAAGGATTAAATAACAAGTGAAAGCACTCAGTAGAGTACCTTTGCTAATGTTTTTCTTATTTCTCTTTAGGATTATATACAATTAGTTTTAAAAAGTAACACTGGGGGCTGGGGATGTAGCTCAATGGCACAAGTGCTTGCCTGGCAAGCACTAGGTTTTGAGTTCTAACCCCAGTACAAAACAACAACAAAAAAGTAGTAACACTGGAATACTTTTCTCCCCAATATTCCTGGTAATTATGCATTACTACCATCTAAATGTAAATCCATTATATTTTTACATATAGACTACAATGCACTATGAACAATCAATCAGTCTTTCTGAATGAGTTCTTTGTATCCCTGTGTCTGAGATAGATAAAACTAGGTTTCATCCCACTTTTATCACTGATATCTTTGAAAATTACTATTTCTCTTAAGTATGTCTTTATTAATCAAATGGGAATTGTAAATATATCTCAATGTTGTTATGAAAATAACAACTATATAATATATAAAAAGTGCTAGCATAGAACAACTGACACAGAAATGGCTTCTGTTAGGATTATAATTGCCTTTCAAAACATGATTACTCAGGGACACAAGGTGCTTGCTTTCATATCTGAGTCTCAGGCTTTTGTCTCTAACCTAACATAAAACAGTAATTTACTGATATACATTGGTACAGGAGATCGAACTCACGACCATGCACTTGCAAGGCAGGTGCTTGTGCTACTGAGCTAAATCCCCAGCCCTAGGATTTCCTTCTAGAAACTGTATAGAAATCACATTAGCAATCTATCAATTTTCGGGTAGCAGGGGTTTTTTCCCCCTTCTTTTTGAGCTTATTTTGTAGCCTAAGCTGGCCTCAAATTTGTAACAATTCTCCTGCCTCTGCCTCCTGAGTGCTGGATTGCAGGCATGTGTTACTATGCCTGGCTGGCAGGGTGTTTTAGAACAATTTTTTAGGAAAATATATTCTTGTCCTATTTATCATCTTGAAGAAATATTCTGATTCTCAAAAAGCTTATAAAAGCTCTCTTATAAAAGCTTGCAGTATTAAATTACTATTATTTTTATTACTGAGTTTTTCAGCTTAGTTAATAAAGACCAAAACCAAAAAAACTTGCAAAACTCAATTATGCAAAGTACATTTAAATTGCCTGTAGATATAGGAAAATGGGTAATTCCCAAAGAAATAATTAAAACCTATATACATTTAGTGACTAGATTTAAAAAACATATTCTCAATTTTGATTTAAATTAATTAGAGTAATAGCTAATATGGTAATCATATATACCTAAGACAATATGATACAAATCTAGATTATTTCTCATAAAGGGGATTGTGGGGATTATATTTCACATGCAAAACTAAGGCATTTAATGTTACTGCACTATGAAAATCAAAGAATGTCAGTTATTTTCTTTTTTTCTTTTTGTCTTTTTCATTTTTATCAATACGGGGGATCGAACTCATGACCGCCTGCTTGCAAGGCAGGTGCTTATGCCGCTGAGCTAAATCCCCAGCCCCCAGTTATTTTCTTTTTAAAAATGATCATGTATTTGTATCAACTTATACCTGGAAGAAACACAATTTTGAAGTATTACTGTAGTACAATTTCACCATTTCCTCTCCTTGAACATTTAAAAAAAATTTTTTTTTTTTCTTTTTGGTACTGGGAATCAAACTCAGGACCCCTGTGCTTGCCAGGCAGTTGATTTTGCCACTGAGCTATAATCCCGGCCAACATTTTAAAATTTAAAGAGCATGCCAAGGCCAAAATTTTTCACTAAAATAGTCACTGATTTCTTCTATGTTATTGATAAAATCTGAGTGACTGTGTTTAAATCTTAACTATTACTTATCCAAAGTCTTGAAAACAAAACAAAAATAGACACATGAAAAGTATTAGATGCCTCATTTTAGTCTCATGTCAACCAGCTCACTATATGATCAAGGGTCAACCTCCTCCTTACAACCTATTAAAAATCCTTCCTTTTTACTTAGTTTTGGAAAAAAGTGCAAAAACAATGAAACTACCAAAAGGCAAAGGGGAAAAGGAAATGCTAGAGCATAAATAATAAGCTTCTAATTTTAACGATTAGTCTCTTTAATCTCTTTAATGTTTTATTCTCAAATAAAAATCTGTTTACTATTACATGAAAGAATTAGTTGGTCTCTTACCAGCTTGCTTAGAACACAGACACTTTTCTGAACTGTCTCTCTGGTGATATCGGCTTGCCTTACTTTCAATGCCTATGATCAACAAATAGACACTATTACAATATTTCATGGCAATATGTAGAAAATATATTTTTCAATAGGAAAACAGCTTTTAAAAAGACATTTTTTGCACTTAAGTTCAATTCAAAGATATTTACTGAGGTTCTCAGAAAATATTTATCAAATGAATAATGGTACTATGTTCCCAAAGTTGTGGTAGACACTGGTGAAGAACAATTGCTACTTGCAAGGAATTTACAGTGGAGACTGCTTTCTATACAAGTCACAACACCCAAGTCAACCATTCAGTGTAAACCAATCATTGATGATTCTGGCTTTAAAAAAAGTGAACTGTTCAGAGATCAGTATTTCTGGTAAGAAGGGCCTAGTTTAAGAGACGGTTGTCTCTCCAGAATGGAAGACCTATCAGACAGAGTTTTAAATTAAACACACTATATAAGGCTGGAGTACATCCTGGAAGACTTGTGTAACAGTCCAGGGCGGTACTCATAACTTCTCAGTGATTGAGGATGGTAGGTGTTATGGCTTCTGTCTAGATGTGCCCCAAAGCCTTATGCACTCATAGCTGGGCCTTCGGGGAGGTGACTGGATCCAGGGTGTGTGAACGAAGATTAAGGATGTTTGATACTAAATTACTCCACTGATTGGGTTAGCAGAATTCTGAGTGTGGATAATGGGAAGGCCCACCCTGCCTGTGGTTAGCACCAACCAAAAGGCTGGTAGACAAAATGGGATAAAAGGGACAGAAGAACAGCAGGCTGCTTGTTGTTACTGCCTCCTGCCTGCCCTGCCATGAGCTGTTTCTCTGTGATGCCCCTATGCTATGCCATCTGGCCTTAGACCCAACAGATTATGGACTGAAAGAAACCTCTATAAGCTGTGGGCTGAAATAAACTTTTCCTTCTTTAACTTGTGGGTGTCAGGTACTGTGTCTCAGCAACCAGAAAAGTAACTGAGACACCATGTGACCTTTCCGCAGGTCTCTGCTAGTAGAAACAAGCCTTGATATGGTTCATTTCAGATAAGGTTGTGAAGGAAGTAAAAATGATTTTTCCTGACACTTACTTGATCTGCCCAGAGGACCAAAGGTCTTAAACTGGTCGTTAAATTAGGTCAAGAATACAGACCTGCTCTTGAGTGGATCCATCCACTATATCCTACCTTCATTCAAGGGAATTAAAGACTTTCTCATAGTCTCTAGTTCTTTTTTTATGTCTGGTATATCTATTCAGTTTCTCAGATATAGCCAAAAGAACTTGAAGCAGTGGGCAACTCTCATATACTCTAGAGTGGGTCAGATTGAGAGACTAGAGACAATATATAAAAGCTACACAGGGCACGTTGTAATGATAACAGCTGTGAGGTTAAGATAAATTTGGAAGAAATAATTTTACTAGTACTTATGTGATCTATGAAGGATAAGAAGAAGTACAGCCAATTTCTAAGAAAGGGTAGCAATTCAATTTATTTCACATATAAAGATAACAGTATGTGAAGAGATCAATGCACAGAATTTTTTTTTTTTTGTCTTTTTCTTTTTTATTGGTACGGGGGATCGAACTCACGACTGCCTGCTTGCAAGGCAGGCGCTTATGTCACTGAGCTAAATCCCCAGCCCCAATGCACAAAATTTTAAGCTAATTTATTTTCAGATTTCTTATATTTTTAATTTTTAATTATTTCCTGTTTTACTGAAGCATAACTGATAAAAGACTGTGTTTACTTAAGATGTATCTGATAATGAGATTTAATATCTTTACTTTTAGATTGTACTCATACAGACAAATAAACTGATTTTGGTTATCTTGGAACATACACTTGTAATTCACTCAGAAAAAGTTCAGAGGAAAAAAACCACACAAACAGAGCATGCATGGTAGAACATTAAGAACTGCTGAATTTCCATCATGAGTATGTACGTGTTTGTTGTATCATTCTTGTGATAAATCTGTGTGTTTGAAATTTTCATTATAAAGTCCCTAGAACAAACAGTCTTTGGTAAACCACTTAGGACCCCTTCTGTCTCTCTCCCAGATAGAAACTTTCTTTTCTCAATAAAGATATTCTGCTCTTAAAAAAAATAAAAGAAGAAATTTTCATTATAAAGTTAGAAGAAAATGAATACAGATTTACTAAGTTAACTGTCCACCCAAAGAAGTTTCTGAACATAATGACTAGCCAGGCTCTAGTTTTAGATACTAATTCTAAAGAGGAAAAATGAAACATATATTTGAGAAAAAAACAAAAAAGCCCTCAGTTAATTGTAGTTAAAAACTATTGTTCTAGAGCTGTGGTTTTTAATTCTGATTATGCATTAGAACGACCTGATGTTCAGCATCAAGTCAGGGAAGCACCATCCTAGTGCTCAAAGCTACTTGCTGATTCCCACTTGGAGCCAAAAGCTGAGAACTACTTACTACTTTAGAATATCTCCCATTAATTTGTCCTGGGCTCCTGTTCTGAGACCAACTGACCAGACAACTACAGAGTTTAAACACAGTACCTGAGCTTTGGATACTAAAGAGACCCACAATCAATTAACTAATAGTAAACTGGAACTAACTGGCTGGTTGAATGGCCAGACTGTGGCCAAGTAGACTGGTTTCTGTCTCACCTCTATCTGCTAAGAATGCTACCTAATCATGATCTTGGCAGGAGTTCTCAGAATCTCCTGGTTCCATGAGTTGCCCAATTTGTGAACTGTTTTTGTTTTGTTTTGCTCAAATAAACACTAAAGTTAACTGATATCAGGAAATGCTAAGGTTTAGATAGTTGTCCCTAGTTTGCATGCTATGGGGAGGTGCTAGAACTTACAAGGGTAGAGCCTCACTGGAGGAAGTCAGGTCATTCCGGGCTGCCTTTGCAGTACATCCTGGGACCCCAGCGCCTTCTTACATTGCTTCTTGCCACCCTGAGGTGAATAGCCTCCTCTGTCATGCACTCCAACACCAATGCATTCCCTGACCCCAAGCCCAAAGCAAGTAACCATGGACTGGAACCACGGAAATCACTAAGCCAAGATAAACCTTTTGTCCTAAAAGCTGATTGCCTCAGGTACTTTGTCACATGATGGAAAGTTGACAAATGTATCAAATACTAGAAATAGAAAAGTGAAAGAAAATACGAAACTTTAACACAGAACTTCAAAGACAAATGGATAACATAGAGATCACTAAAAACAATGCATAAAACATATACTATATAATCATAGATACTAATGCCAATTTATAAAAATTTAGCATGAATAAATCAGTTCTATAGGAGTAACAGTTACAAACTGTTTATAAAAATCTAAACATCTAAAATCTGAAAAACAGACACCACATGAAAAATACAAACTATGCATTTCCACAAATGACCAACACTTAAAAAAGGATTTTTCAGTTTTTCTCTTGTTGTGCACTATTAGCTATCATACCTTGGCTTCAATTTGTCGATAGCAGGAGATACCGTATACTGTGTCTCCATTTCCATCTCTGGGTGGCAAGTGAAAAAATACACTATCTAAAAGATACACAGGAAAATATCAATATTGAGGTGAATTACTCTTATTAATAATGAAACCTGAAGTTACAATAATGCAATCATTAACACAAAATGATGACATATCAAGGAACCCATGCCATCCTTATGCCCAGCATCACAACCACTGGTTTCTTAGAATTCCTCTCAATGCCTTGCAACATAATCCAGGTCAAGTAACCCAAGAGGATGAACTATAACAGGTTAAACTGAGGGTTAGCTACAGAAAATATGTACAGAGGATTGTTTCACATTGAAAGAAAGCAGAGTGTCATAAAAACCAATGGCAACATGTGAATCTTGAATACATCCAAGAAATTTTGGGGGTAACTGGGGAAATCTGCACATAGACTGGCTGTTAGATGGTGTTACGGAATTACTGTCAAATCTCTTAGGTATGATAATGATCTTATTCTTAGGAGATGCGTGTTAAGTATTTAGAGCTGAAGTGCCTCACTGTTTCCAACTGACTTTAAAACAGTACAAACTGTACACATAAAATCTGGGCCAGGGGTTTAGCTCAGTGGCACAAGTGCCTCACTGGCTCGTGCAAGGTTGTGAGTTCAATCCCCAGTACCAAAAAAAAAAAAAAAAAAAAAAAAAAAAAAAGTCTACATTCTTCATTTATAGATGATTCATTTCTAGATGTCCCCAAAGCCTCTTTCACTCATAGGTAGGGTTTTTGGGAAGTGACTGGATCAAGGGGAAATAACATTCACCAGTAGATTAGCTCACAGATGAGTTAATAGCTCAGTGTGGTGTTGGGAGATGAAATCTGGTCAAAGGCAGTGGTTTCTAGGAGGCATGGCCTGGAAAGGTCTGTCTTCTTTCCTCTTTCCCTATTTTAATTCTTTGCTTCCTGCCATGCCATAAGCTGTTTCTCCTCTGTTAATGCCTTTCCACCATGCCACCCTGCCTTGGAACCAGCCAAATATGGACTGAAACTTTTACAAATTGTAAGCCAAAATAAACTCTTCTTCCTTTAAATTGTGACTGTCAGGTATTACATCTAGTGATGAAAGGTAACTGTAAGAATTCACTATGATCAATTCAATTATTCTGTATTTTTGAAAACTTCTGTAACAAAAAGGGAGAGAAAAGATTTCTGGGGCTCTAATGCCTATATTTAAATTGCACAGGATCAATTTCATTTACTTCATGAAACAGTTATTAAATATTGCATGGGTGGGGCAAGGATTTAGCTCAGTGGCATATAAGTGCCTGCCTGGCATGTGCGAGGTTCTGAGTTCAATCTCAAATACCAAAAAGAAAAAAATTGCATTAGGAAAACAGGTCAATCAAGGAAACTATAATTGGGTAGTCTCCAATACCATGGCAGGATACTGCCCTTCATGAAGTCTAGCAAGTACTCATTTATGAGATAGAGGAAGGCTCTGCATGAACCTCACAGCATTGTTTTCTCTGAGCACTGACACTGGTTTCAGAGGTAGAGAAACAATTGCAGCTGCTAGCAGGTAGGTGCTGGGGTACCAATCCCAGGAAGCCTAGGGCTAGCACTCAAGTGAGTGGCTGGTACAAAGAGCCTTTGCGGACTGGGGATTTAGCTCAGCGGCATAAGCGCCTGCCTTGCAAGCAGGCAGTTGTGAGTTCAATCCCTGGTACCGATAAAAAGGAAAAGACAAAAAAAAAAAAGAGCCTTTCCTTTTTACTTCTGAGAGGAGTTGACAGAATAACTGTAAGAAGTATCTCTAGCAACAGCCATCATGCTTTGGACTTACTTAGCTACAGTTGCTATCGGAGGTGACTAAAGATTGCCACCTATAGCCAATGTATTCACTGGTGAGTCCTTAGTACATGACTAGTCTTCCCCAAACAGTATTTTTTTTGCTGTGACACTGTGGTTTGAATCCAGGGAGCACTGAGCTATCCACTGCACCCGTTTTTATTTTTAGATAGGGTCTTGCTAAGTTGTTCAGATTGGCCTTGAACTTGTGATTCTCCTGCCTTATCCTCCCAAATGGCTGGCATTATAGGCATGTGCCACATTTGGCTAGTACATCGATATTTTAAAAATAGTTACAATAACTAAAGGCATTTCTTTTACCAAAGTATTTAGAATCTTTAGCTAATTTTTATTCTTTATTTTACTAGTGTATGTTTGTGATGCATAATAAATTCATTTATCATGGGAAATCAGTACATACACATATCACATCTTGATCCTTTTACTTTCCCCTACCTGCCCTTCTTCCCTCCTGGCTGCCCCTCATCCCCAGATCTTTAAAAAATGGCACCTACTAATTGTTCCACTATCTCATCACATACCTTCCTGGTAGTTGTGTGCGCCATCTGGTAAGGCAAGGAAGGGCAAATATTTCCATTCTTCAGGTAAAGTGTGGCTGTCATGTCCATCTCCTGGAATCAGGGGTGGGTAAGAAAATTCAACCTGAAATGGTGAGAAATGTTAGTTGACAAGTGGGTAATTAAAGGAACCATCTAGTCTTGATAGGCAAAAATGTTTTAAAACCCTGAGTGACAGATGTGGGGATAAGCCACACCTACTGATGCCCTCTGACATTAGTAGCAAATCTATGGCACAGAAGAGGAAAAAGAAAAAGCAGGAGAGCTTTAAGCCTTTTCTACTTTCTCACTTAAGCGTTTTTAGTTGAAACTCAAAACTCTGTGTCATAAACTGTAATAAATAGAAGTGCAGATACTACATATACTCCAAGAATTGTATGAGTAAAATTAAGGCTTTTCTATACTTAACTCGGGACCAGAGTCCTTATAATGGTCTCTTTCTTTCTTTCTCTCTTTGTACTGGGGATCGAACTCACAACCTCGCTCTTGCCTTTAACGCAAATGCTTATAACAGTTTCTTTTGGAAAATGTGTTTAGAATTTCAAACAGCCCACTTTTGAAACACAATTCATTCATATACTGTAGACTGCCTACACTGTGCTGGCAGTGTTCTAGAATTTTTGTTTTCTGCTGGTAAATTTGCTAATCAAGTTCAAAATGGTTACAGAAACGCCTATGTTTTTCATATATGCAACAATTTGAACAACTATATAGTATTACTTTGTTTAATGGATCCTCTTGAACATTGTCCTAGTTTTTAACATTATAAAGTTATTCAAGTACGTGTGGGAAAAACAGAGAAAAAAAATACATATATATATATTTTTCTTCATTCATTTTTTGAGCCGGTTCCTAGAACAAAGCTCCCTTGAATTTCTGACTGAGATGGAGGTAGCCAACTGCACCTCCAAGGGGGAACCACAGCTACATAGTTTACCTGAATGGCTCTCCCTGCAGCTGTATGTGAAGTGTCTATACAGCTGTACATGGCAGCCCTACGAATGAGAAAAATCACTGACAAAACTAATGTTAGGTCCTCTGAGATTAATAAATATTCAGACAAATTACTGTCCAGTATTAAACAGTGAAAGTTCACCACTTAAAATCTAAGTTACACTGGGAATCAAAGATGCTGTCTGGTAGTGCATTAACACGTACCACCGCCACCGAGGCATTAAATGTTCCCCCAAAGGACAACTATTACTACGTTATGCAAATCTCAGGTATCGCCCCTTATGTAGCCAATATGCTTGTGACCAAATGTACTCTGATTCCAATTATTTCACATATTCACACTACTACAAAGAGAGAAGGGAGAGAGAAAAGACAATTACTGATTTCTAAACAATGAAAACTCAGGCCAGATGTGGTGACACAAACCAGTAATCCCTGCACTCAGCAGGCTGAGGCAGGAGGATTGTCATGAGTTCAAGGCAAGCGTAGGCAACCTCATGAATTCAGGGCCAGCCTAAACTACATAGTAAGATTCTGTTTTAAAAAACAAACCAAAACTAAAACTCCCCCTGCAAAGAAGAAAAAAGTCTAACAAAGATACTATAATAATTATACAATACTATATAATACTAAAATAAAAATGGCAATTTTTCTACATGCTAAATGAACTATCCAAGAATTCTGTTTGTCCTCTAAAAGTAGCAAAAATTAACACATGGCATTTTCACAATTTACAAATCAAGCCAGATCTCATTTACTTTGTTCTCTGGAAAAAAGACTGAAAAAACAACAAAGAGTAACTGCAAACCCAACACAATAACAAAAACTGTTGCCGATTACAAATTAGTTTGTTTTAAAATTAATGGATATCGGGGGCTGGGGATTTAGCTCAGTGGCATAAGCACCTGCCTTGCAAGCAGGCAGTCGTTGAGTTCGATCACCGGTACCGATAAAAAGTTAAAAAATAAATAAATAAATAAAATAAATGGATATACAAAACTTAGTTTAAACCACTTGCTTTTATGTATTTAACTAAATAAAAGGATGTTTCTGTAATTTTCCTCCCTGGAATTAAAAAGCAAGTTTATTGTCCATATTGCTTAAGAGACAATACTTAGATTATGAATATGAAGATAAATAATACGCATTTTAACTTAAATGAAATTTGTTTTCTCTGACTGAAAATCCAGTTATTTTTTTCACAGTTAAATTAGAATCATATCAACTTTATGATACAAAAGAACATAGCATTTTGCTAGTGTCAATAGTTATATAATATGAAAAATTTTATTGGTTTGTCAGGAACTAAAATTAATACTTTTTGCTTGCCACTTTAAAAATCATTATAAATTTGCAAGAGTATGCATGTTTATTAACATGAAATAGTATATATATACAACTATAAATCATGCTCCTTTTCAAGAATTAGTTCTACAAAGGGAAAATCTTTATATACAAAAAGCAATATGGAGAAACTCTTATTAATAAGGATTCACCTCCATTAACTTAATGCCTAGAAATAGGTTGTGAAAAAAACAGCACTGTTATAGGGATTTAGAATTAACTGAAATATCAGATTTTATAGATAATACAAAAATATGAAATGCCTTCAAATATGGAGTTAATGTAGCTTGATTTGTGAGTTATGTCAGACAAGTAACTTTCAGTAATCTGAGATTGCTGAGTTTTGGCGAGAACTTATTTTATATAAAACTAGATAGCTTCAAATGTGCTTAATTATGAGCCCTTATTTAAAAGGAAAAAGCAGTTTGAAAGATCTTAAATATGTGTAACTTACTAGGATTTTCTATGCTAATGAAATTAGAACTCCTATATTATCCTGGGTTCCCAGTAAAATAAATCTGGTTATGTAGCACAAATGTGTATAGTTAGAGGGAGAATACACCAACTTTTACAGACTTAAGTCTGATAATTAAACACTGGAAACCCCATGCCCACCATAGAAGCATGGGTAAATAAATCTTGGTGTATTTACATAGTGGAACACTTTACAGCAACCTCTGGCACAAGCAGCGTAAGTTGGAACAGTGAAGTGACCCAGGAGGGGCACAGACCAGAACCTCTGCAGGCTGATACATATACATATTCTTGATCTGGACAGCTATTGCATATACACACAAAGAAACTGATTCAGCTGGACCCTTGAGTTTCATAAGCTTTATTGTGAAGAAGAAAAAGGAGAAAAAAAAGAGAAAGAAGAGGAAAAAGAGAGCAATAAATGAGAAAAGGCAGAAGCTGAAACTGGCATAGTAACTATTGGATATATAGTTTCAGCAGTGACAAGTAACTGCTGACATCTCCATCATCTCTCTTTCTGATGGGCTATCAAAAGTCTAACTGAGTCAGATGCATGTACAAAGCACTTTATGTTAAAATAAACCAAGAAGGTGAGGGATATAGCTCAGTGGCCCAGTACCTGCCTAGCAAGCAGGAGGTCTTGAGTTCACTTCCCGTACCAACAACAAACAAACAAAAATAAAATAACCCAAGAATGTCACAGTACAAGTGACATTTGCTATGAAGACAGGGTCACCCAGCCAGACCAATTTATGGCCAGTACATTGTTACAAAATTCATTTTAATAAGAGCTCCATTAAAAAAAAATATGACTAAGATGTAGGCTACACTTAAGAAAAAAGCTGCAAAGATTTAGCCACACTAGTATTCTTTGCAGTACTATTCAAATAATAAAAACTGGGATGCCACCTAAACATCTAAGGCAGGCCATAAAACAGTATTCAGTCATAGATAATGGTATGATACATTTTAGAAAAAAAATATTTTCATATAAAAATAACAGACAGGATATTCATCAAGGTGTAAAACAGCAGCTCTCTCTAGGATACAGGAATTTTAGTGTTTTCTTCTTTTTTTGCTTTTCTGTAATCCTCAATGTTCTACAACAGTGAATGAATATTACTTCCAATCATAAACGTTTTCAAAAACAGCTGATATATGATTTAAGCATTATTGAAACTATCAGTTTAGATATCATCCTCTGAAGATATCTTAAGAGGCAACCAGAGTTTTTAATGGCATTTTGTGTCTTAGCCAGATTGTACACAGGGAAAGCAAAACAAAATAAAACTAAACAAAAGAACATGACATAACTCAACTACAAAAACACAAACAAAAAACAATCTACATGTAACAAAGGATCTGAATTGCAATTAGAAAGCGAAGGTTACAAAATATATAATAAGCATCTTACTAGGGGTCAAAGATTTCAGCCAAGGAAGATAATTAGGTACTTTCACACTAGCTGGAATGATAAGACAAATAAATTTGCTAATGTTTTAAAATTTCCCATTATTAAAGTTGATATCCACTCTGCTTCCATGATACCACAGCCTGAATCAAATGTTTTCACTAATGTTAGTATCCAAGCCCCTGCAAGTTAACTCACTTAGCAAAACTATGGCTCAAACTAGGGTGGGGAGGGAAGATCTCCACCAAAATATTAAGTTTAAAATGCAAAAGTAGGGGCTGGGGATTTAGCTCAGCGGCATAAGTGCCTGCCTTGCAAGCAGGCAGTCGTGAGTTCGATCCCCGGTACTGATAAAAAGGAAAAAGACATAAAAAAAATGCAAAAGTAACACAAGGGGCTAGAAAATGTAATCTTTCAGGATAAAATTTCTTTAAAACTAGTAGCTATAAAGAACTTCAAGAAGTTGTTCTTTCCTAATTGCGAATCTTCCAAAGTTTTGTTCTTTCTGTTCCAAAGTCCTCCTTCAACAAGAATTACAAACTCTTTGGAATTTTCTACACTGTCACCACAGGACTTCAATAGTAGGTGCCAAAACAAGAGGTTTTTGGGAGAGCCAGCTGTCACCAAAATCTGAATGGGCCAGGCTTGAGTACAGCAGTGCTACTCTAGCATAAAACATTTCCCCTAATCTCAACTAATCCCTGATTTGCAATGCAACCTCCTGCTAGTAATGGGACCATTCCCAGGCACTCACTCAGGCCAAAGGCATTTCCTTCCCTGCATCCCATTACTTTGGGCACTCTCTAACTGCTGTTAAATTCAGCTCATTTATTGATTTATTTTTTTGGGTCTTTTTGCTTTTTATCGGTACCGGGGATCGAACTCACGACTGCCTGCTTGCAAGGCAGGCGCTTATGCTGCTGAGCTAAATCCCAGCCCCTGAGTTCTCGTTTATTTTTAATTCTGCTCTTCTGAGAAGTCTGGCAAACAAGTTACTCAAGAAGTTTCATTTAAGAATTAAAACTACGGGGCTGGAGATTTAGCTCAGCGGCATAAGCGCCTGCCTTGCAAGCAGGCAGTCATGAATTTGATCCCTGGTACCGATAAAAACAAAAAAGACAAAAAAAAAAAAAAAGAATTAAAACTGCAAGATGTGCACACAACTACAAACTCAATCGGAATAGTGGTAAAAAATCAAGTAGTAATGCCAACTTTCTATGACAGTGGTAGTGAATGGCACACATGCCATTGTGTTTTTAAAACAAAAGATGTTAATGTTTAAATTTTTTCTAAACTAAAATCTCAGTATTCAAGTTTAACTGCAGAGTTGGCACTTTGACATGAAGTAGATTTCAGGTTGCAGTTTGGCACTTGGTCCTAAAAGACTCACCATCACTCTTCTATGACATCACTTTGGAGAATAATTGTTACCTCTCAATTTGAGGGCTTAAAATAATTCCAGTCTAGCCAAGTGCAGTGGTGCATGTCTGTAATCTCAGCACTTTACATAATAGATAGAGGAGGAAGACTGTCTAGAGTTTGAGGCTAGCCTGGGCTACCTATAGTGAGTTCAAAGCCAACCTGAAATACATAGTGAGACTTTGTCTCGACCTCCACTTCCCAAAAGTTCCAGACTAAAGCAGGTGTGGTGGTGCACACCTGTAATTTATGCATTTGGGAGGTGCAGGCAGGAGGATTACTATGAATTTGAGACCAGTGTGGGCTACATGGTGAGTTCAAGGCCAGCCAGAATTACATAGCGACACCCTGTTCCACCTACCCCTATGCCAGTGTATCAGTAAATGAGCTTATCTGATATATATTTGATTGTATTATTTAGCAAAAATTATGCTGACTTGTCAAATACAATTTCTATACTGGAACAAAACTGTAATGCACAATCCATAACTAGCAAATTTACTATAGAGAAGGCACATATAAATCATTTCATGTGAAAAATTCTAACTTCAGGTAAGTTTTTGATAAAGAATCCTGCTAAATGGTTGAATTTTTAAAAATTAATTAAGACTTGGAAGGGATAACTATTTCAAAACTATTTTGAATATCACAGTAGTACTTTAAGTCACTTCAAATCTTACAAATATTAAGCATACTTATAAACTGGAAGTCACCACTAGAATCCAGCATGTTATGTATAGGAGAATGTATAGAGAATTTATTTCCACAAGTTATTTCCCCGCAAAATGAACTGATACAGTTAACAGATGTTCATTTTAATTTAAATGAAGAAATTTTTTACTTAAAATATATCCGACGATTTCAAAAGTTGAAAAAATTCAGAAAAGATGAACAAACATTTTATACCAGCCTATGTATTGGATCAACAAACTACTAGAAGATGGCTTTCATTTTGTGGTATATGTGAGATGACAAGACAAATCAAATTTAGCCAAGCTGACTGTTCAAAGAGAGTATTTTAAACATAAGCTTTATCTCAGTTCACTCTAAAGAAACAGATTCAGGGGCTGGGGATTTAGCTCAGCGGCATAAGCACCTGCCTTGCAAGCAGGCGGTCGTGAGTTCGATCCCCGGTACCGATAAAAAGGAAAAAGACAAAAAAAAAAAAAAAAAAAAAAAAAAAAAAAAGAAACAGATTCAGGTACTGGAATTTTCCTTAGAATAATCTCAGGACAAGGCAAGAACTGGTTATCTACCTGACCAGGGCCATTCTGAATACGTTTAAGAGCAGCCTAACAAAGCATACTCCCAAGTTAAAACCATCTGAAGTCTGAGTCACCATCCAATGAACTAAGCATTTATAATCCTTTACACCTGGAATAAAACCTTGAAATTGAGAAGGAAGTAACTGATTACTCTATCCTGGGGAAATTAAATAATTAGAACCTCTGATAATATCTAACATACTGGTTAAAATGAATAGCAGTGTCTATGACCTATTCTGAGTTACACATGAAAGTGTGCGCTTGGATTTTGAAGTTGTAGGACATCTAAGAAGACACTAGTATGCAGAAATGGAAAGATTCTTTAAGACTCATACCCAGGAGACTTTATAGTTCACTGGTTTTATAATGTTCCTTTCTATCTGGTTAAAAAAAAATCAACATTGTCCTTAATATTTCACAAAAACTAAAGCATATTTTATCTACAGAACCAGGTTCTTTGTGCTTCATTTTCTGCTACACTAAAGGTGTAATTTTTAAAAGCTGAATACCCTGATTAACTAAACATTATATGCTATAACATGAGCAAAGACAAATAGTATCAAGTATGCAAAAAAGGACAGTGATTAAAAAAAAAACCCAAGCAAAAAAAAAACTCCAAGTAGTAATATGTACATGTAACTACTCTCCAAGATTACTGTAAACTGTTGCATAAATTGCAAACATGTACAAATTAAAAATTTACAAGTAAAACATTTTAAAGCTGCAATAATAAATCAAGAGGCTTTTGAACAGTCTCATCTTTCATTTGAATGTGTCAGATTCTTTTGTACTCTCTTCCTTTCTATTAATAATCCACATCGAACAGTATATTTTTAAAAATTTGCCATTGTCTTTGTTGAAGTATCACTTGGATTACAATAACAACTAGAACAAGGAATGTATTGATTTTCCAGGAGCCTACAACCTAAGAATGCAATTAAAAGAAACATATATTGTTTAAACCTGGTATGGTGTTACACACCTGTAATCCCAGCATTCGGGTGACTGAGGCAGGAGGATCGCTACAAATTCGAGGTCAGCCTGGGCAATACAATGAGCTCAAAACCAGTCTGAACTGCACAGAAAGATCTTGTCATCCCTGTTACCAGTAAAAAAAAAAAAAAAAAAAAAAAAAAGAATGAAAGACAGACTGTTTCACGGGTATAGCTTTGGGGGATAATGAAAAAGTTGAGTATTAAGAATGTGACAATTGGGGCTGGGGATTTAGCTCAGCGGCGTAAGTGCCTGCCTTGCAAGTGTGTGGTCGTGAGTTGGATCCCTGGTACCAATAAAAAATGAAAAAGACAAAAAAAAAAAAAAAAAAGGACAATTACACGATATGGTAAAAAAAATTATTATTATTATTTTTTAAAAGAGAAATGTAGAAAATCTCTGTGATCCCAGTACTTTGGAAGGTTGAAGCAGGTGGACTGCAGGTTCAAATCCCACCCAGACAACTTTCACGTCTTTCTCAAAATTCAAAAAATAGGGAAGAGGTGCTGGGAATGTAGCTCAATGAGAAGGTCTGAGTTCAATCTCCAGTACTGAAAGAAAAAAAAAAAGTAAATGCAACAACTAGTGAGCTGGCTGTGTAAGTCAGCTTCTCCGAGCATCCAGGGACTGATGTAGAAATTTAAGGGAGCCATATCTTAAAGGATTGCTGCCAGGTCTAAAATTTTCATAAAGTACTTGGTAGAGGAAATTGAGAAGTAAAGAAAAATTATGCTACTTGGACTTGCTGGAGGTCATGGGTGCTGGGATGCCATAATGTTATCCAGGTTTCCAGACTTCCAGGACAGTGTTCTTTTTACACAACCAGTCCCTTTTACTCCAGAGCTGAAACCAAAAGCCAGACAAAAACAGACAAACGCCACAGTACCCAGGGTCTACTTAGCCACAAGACCCTCTGTCATTTTGCAATCTGCAGTTCAGCTTTCTCTAATTTCTAAGCAGTACTGCATGCTGTTTCTTGTCTAAAAATATAAATTACATTACCTTTATCAATGAAGCAGGTAGAAAACCACCTTAACTCTCAGATGACAGAAAAATTAGAGATTTTTATCCTGTCTCCTGCCAGTATAGGTAATTTTTTTTTATCCAAAGCTCCATTCAATAGGGTTCTCAAGTAGGGTGATTTCAGGGTTATTTTGCAGAACAACCTCAACAGTATCATTTTACCCCCTTTTCACTTGCAATTACTTCCCTTATAGCCAAAGGAATTTATAAAGTACTAAATTCACACACATGAAGTTTTAAGCAGGGCACCTATAATCTCAGCATTTAGGAGACTGGGCCAGACAGATAGCAACATATTTAAAGACAGCCTGGAGTACCTAGTGAATTCAAGTCCAGCTGGAACTACATAAAAACAAAAAACAAGAAAAAAACAAATACCAACAAACCACCCCCTCCTCAAACCAAACAAACACGAATTTTAAAGTACTGAAAACCTTTGAGTATCACACTGAACAATGCTACTTCCTCTTTGGTATTTTTCTATACTATTTTTACCTGAGGTATGAAGAATATATCTTAAAGCAGATTTTTGAATACACACAATGATCTTTTCATGCCCTTCACTACTTTTCTGTTATCTTCTAATGAACTGAGTTTCTGCCAATAATTCCTCTAAAATATTATTTTCTGTGAAAGGCAAGAAAACCAAATGTCACTTTACCTAGCGATAGTAGTCAGTATTTTCAATTCCAATGTACTGTTCACTAGCACATTTATATGACATCACTGGCTTCCAATGTTTGCTCACTCATTATTAAATAATTCTGCTTCTCTATTGTTCCTTTGCCTTCAATACACACATTGCAAATATTCCATTTCAGATGTTGTGAGTTAAGATATCTATTGATACATTTTACTTGACGAATACACTTCCTTCGTTATTGATCCTAGGTGGTCAAATATCCCCGAAGCAAGCCCTGGCCCGTACAGAACAGCACAGGGAAGGCGGGGGAGCGGCCCTTGGGGCTCAACTCCAATCCAGATCCGGGCTCCAGGATCCACAAGGAAGCTGGTTCCTGGAGGCGCCATCTACGCGCGACCGACCCGAAGCTCTGCAGGAAGCCTCCGCGCCCGCAGCCTTGAACAATTGCAATTGTGGGTTTTTCTCCCCCAAGATCCCCATTCTTTTTTTTTTTTTTTTTTTTTTTTTGTCTTTTTCATTTTTATCGGTACCGGGGATTGAACTCACAACCGTCTGCTTGCAAGGCAGGTGCTTATGCCGCTGAGCTAAACCCCCAGCCCCAAGATCCCCATTCTTGACAGACACAATTCTGCGGAGACAGGCGGGATGGGAACGGACACTCGCTCCCCGCACCGAATCCTCAGGGGCAGAAAAGGAAGGGCGTGGCGGGGCCCGCGCTCACCTGGCAGCCCTTCTTGTGGTGGAAGCCGACCACCACGATGTGCAGCACAGGCCCGCGGGGCGCGCCGTCGCCGCCGCGCTCAGTCGACTCCATGGGCCCGCACCGCGACGACACGAGCCCCGAGCCGGTGGCTGAGGCCCGAGAGTGGCGTCCTGCAGGTGTCAGCCGGAGAGCCACATGAGGGCCGCTCCGGGGGCCGCAGCAGGCAGAGCAGCCCCCTTCGCAGCCGCTGTTCTTCCGTCAGCCGCCTCTACAACTTCCGGGTGTCACCTGACTCGGCGGCGGTGGGCCGCGCGGGGGCGGGACCTAGGCTTAGGGGCGGGGCTTGGAGAGGAGAGGTCGGGGGAGGGGCGAGGGATATGGGGCGTGGCCTACGGAGCGGGGCGGGGTTAAAGAACTCGAGGTTGGGGGCCAGGGGTGTTTTGGGGTCCTGGGGTGCACGGGATTGGGGGGCGGAGCCTCGGGTGCTGGGTCCATCTTGTTGCTTTTTCTGCGGGTACTGTATTAAATCGCCTCCTTTTTCTTTGTTATTTCTTGTTCCTTTTTGTTTTGTCTTGTCTTTTTTGAGACAGGGTCTCGCCATGCAGTTCAGGCTGGCCTTGGGCTAACTGGTCTTGAACTTGCAAACGATTCTTTTATCTCAGCCTCCCAAATGCTGGGATTACCCGAGTGCACCGCCACCCCCGGCTCTTCCTCCTTCCTCTTTTTTCAGCTTTCCTCTTTAAATGTCTCTGTTCCTCCGATTCCTTCTCCTCGGGCTTGGGGGTCTCTCATGGAGTCTGTTGTCGAGGTTGTGTATTTCTGTCTTCACCTCCAAATCGTTTCGGTAGCCGAAAGTTCGCTTTTGTTTCATAAAGGATTTTTTAAATCTAAATTTAAAAATATAGGCGTTTGGAAGTGATTTAAGGCCTGCAGCAGAATGTCCTTGGGAGTTAGATGGGGACCTGTTATTCTAGTTTTGCAATTTAAAAAAAAATATTATTTTCATTCCATCTTTTCCTTTTTTACTATGGTCAGCACGAAATACGTGGGTCTGTTATCACTAAGGTTTTTAATTCCTTTATTGATTGTTTTATTTAAATTTTAAAAAGCGATGTATGTCTTATCAATTTAAAGTGACCAACAAGTCTTATGCAGCGTTTTGAAATAAACGAGTACGAAGATGATTGCTTCAAACTATGATCACTGGCCTTGAAGTTTATCTTGACAAACAGCTTATATCAAGTATAGGTACTCTTAGCATTTTATATTTTCTGCTGGTGGTCTTGAAATATAACTAAAATGCCTCCATTTTAATCTACGCATAATGGAGAAAAATTATAGGTATCCTGAATCAAGTTTAATTTGTGTGGTTCAGTGAAACTGTTTCAGTATTAATAAAAAATACTGTAGATGTCTGTAATCCCAGCACTAGAGAGGCTGAGGCAGGAGGGATTGTCAGGAGTCTGAGGCCAGCCCGGGCTGCACAAACAGTTCAAGTCCAGCGTAGACTACATAACGAGACCCTGTCTCAAAAAAAATTATTTTTGCATGTATGTGTTACCCGTCTCTTCTAGTATTGTAATATTCTTGGCAATGGCTCAGAATTTTGTGAAACTATACTATTTTCCATGTACAGAATATGTTGGCTCTGTTTCTTCATATGTTACTTATCTGGTATGTTAACTACTTTATGTCTTAAATATTTTCTTGATGTAACATGACTCATATTTCCATAAAGTCTAACTGAGCACTTTCTTGAAAAAGTTGTCTGAACAGAACCGTTTAGAACTCTGTAGTGAGCATCAGTTAATTCCTTATGCAGCAGATCCAGTAACAACTTTACAAATACCTATTTTGTACCTAGAGCTTTCACTTGATTAACTCATGTATTCATAGCTATATGCTTAAATGTTTAAAAAATATATCATTTCAAATAATACTATAGCTAGGCATGGTGGCACATGCATGCCTGTAATGTCAGTACTCTGAGAGGCTGAGGCAGAGGATCACAAATTCAAACCCCGGCCTGGGCAACTTCATAACTTAGAGACTGAGTCATAAGTAAATAAACAAATAAATAAATAGGGTTGAGATGTAGCTCAGTGTGAAGGCAGGCCCAGTGTTCAATTCCCAGCAATGGAATAAACAAATAAGATAATGCGATAAACAAGAAGATATAGAAATTGGTAGAGATTGTGAAAAGGGGGATTTTCAGGATTGTTCCTATTTCTAAATACACAGCCTGGCCCAGTTAACAGTGTAGAATTTCTTTACCTTAGTTTTAAAATGAATTGTATTAATGTAGAACTAATTCATTAGTAGTAGGTAGTCCACAAGGACAAATGTCTGTTTGAAAAAAATAGAAACTTTTCTAGCTTTAAAAAGTGAACTGAAGGAAATTATCAAGACTGGAAACACTAGTTTTAGGTAGCTGACTGCTTTTCTGGATCGTTTAAATTTTTTTTTATTTTTTCAAATTCATTGTATTAAAAGATGACTCTTATTTCGAAAGGAAGCTTTTAGCTGTATTTATGTGATGACTGACATTTACCTTGAGGGGGAAAATTAGAAATGCTTTCTGAACACAATAATTGAAGAGCCTCTTCTAATTAAATACATTTTATGATGAATTATAAATTCTATTCATGTCTGCTTGGTTAAAAATGCTAAAGGGAGAAAATTTCTGAGATGTAAAGCTACGACAGATTTTCAAGTTTATTAAAATTCTATGTGACATTGGACTATTGTTTCTTTTTATGTCTTGCCTCAAGAAAGAACACAGTGAAATAAAACATTCCCATCCTTCAATCCTTATTTTATTAATGCCACTGCATAAATGAATTACCTATTGTACATTTTTTGAGTGTAAAGAGTTTTTAAGTTTCTTTGGTGTTTCCCTGGTGTTGAAAATTGCTGATGTTCATTTTATTCTTTAATGGAAAACTTAAAAAGTAAGTATTTTTAAAAAATAATTGAGAAGGGGCCTTGCTAAGTTGCCCAGGCTGGCCTTGAACTCAAAATCGCCCACAGTCTCCTGAGTACTGGATTATGTGGGTGTACCACTTAGCATAGCTGGCTTTGACTTTCTTAAAGTGTATTTTTCTGATTTTTGAACATTGGTAAGAATTTGGTTCACGTTATAGTATAGTGAACATAAACTAGAAATAAGGATAGAGAAGAAAACCAAATCGCTAAATAGGCTTTGCAAATCAATGTATTATTTCATATTTATGAAAATTAAAGGGAATGTTCATGGGTTTGAATGAGATATAGTGAATTCAGAGAAAATTTATTATGCCTTAGAGTACACTTGGAAATTATGGCAAACACAGTGAGTTAAACAAAAGGTTGCTGCCTCAAAATGGTCTATGTCTGGTTATAAAAACAAGAGAAATTTGAAGCCAGCTAGTAATACTATCTTTTTTTTTCTTTTTTATCAGTACCAGGGATTGCACTCATGACCATCTGCTTGCAAGGCAGGTGCTTATGCCACTGAGCTAAATCCCCAGCCCCTAGTAATGCTATCTCTATGCAGCTCCTACTGTAAGTCAATCATAATGTTAGGTATTAAGAAGCAAAGATAATTTAAATAATAATAGCTTGTGTTTCATAGGGTTTACTATGTGCCAGGTCTAGTGCTTACTACTTCATTGATTATCTCATTTAATTTCACAATAAATGTACAAGTAGTTATCCTCATTTTTCTCAATGAGTAAATTGATACTTTAAAAGCTTAAACAATTTCCCCATAAATTAAATAAATTAAAAGGAATTGTGATGGAGTTGAAATTTGAATGAAAGTAATTTAATTCAGAACCAATAAATTTAATCAATATACTCTACTGTTTTTCAATTTTCTTGGTCTTGAGGAACTCAGTGTTCTGAGGAGAGATTACTTAGTTGAATAATGAAAAGAAAATACACTGAAAATGTCCTGAGAGCTGTTAGCAATACTGCCTGACGATGAAAGAGTTCAAATTGTCAGAGTCGGAGTAAGTGTCGTATTTGAGCACAGTTGTGAAGGATGAGCAAGGTTTTATTGGGACTTGGGTTGTGAGAAGAATATCATAAAGTAAAAATCACTGAAGTTATATTTATACACTGAGTTATTAAGGAAATACATTTGGGGAGAGGAGGGTTTTATGCTTTACTGGAAGTATATAAAATTTAAATAAAAAGTCAACAATAGAGGGTTGGAGGTACACCAAATGCATAGTGTTCCCTTTACTTGAAAGGCCGCTCTTGCCTCTTCTAACTTAATTCTTTCTTATTCACTCCAAGACTAGATACCTATCAATTCCTTTATGAATCTTCTCAGGTTATTCATGAATTCTGAATAGAGGCAATTTCGTCACGATACTTGCTGTTGTAATCAGGGTTTGCAAGGAAAGGTCAATATAGCTCAGTTTTTAGAGGTTTCAGCCCTTAATTGACTGGTTCTAAGGCAGGGTGGTGTGGCAAAGGGGCAACTGTTCATGGAGGCAGAACATACCAAAAGCAACAACTGAACCTTAATACTGTCTGCCTGCTCCTTTTATTCTCTTATCTAGGCTGCTGGGATTTCGGGTGGTGCCAATCCTATCATCGGATTGATACAGCAATCACTCATCCCTCATGCTAGCATTACACCACAAATCAATCACATACTCTAGATTCAGCCACCTCCAAAAAAAGGCCCACCTAAAACTGCATGAGGTTTTGGAGGGATATTTAGACCCAAACCATAACACTTGCCTGATAATGCACTTGTAAAGATTACTTAGAAGCATAAATGTTCTAGATTCTATTTGATACTTAGTATTTATGGAATCTTGTCCCTCTCCCAAAAAACTAGGACTGGGTCAAAATTTTAAAAATGTACTCCTCTAGGATCCCCGAAGCTACCAATTATTTTATTATTATTATTGTTTTTTATGGTTCCTTGAAAAATGAAGTTTGTATATTTATTTCTTGCATTTTTTTGAGAGAAGACCTTTTCTAATCTGCATTGCTATTTGCCAAACTGTTGGATAAACAACATGTAACAAACACGTATTTGTTTAACGAAGATACCTGGGTATCTACCAGTCCCTTATTGTTGGGATGGTGTTTTGTACTTTCTCATGTTTATACTGTTTAGCTTTAAGTTCTTAGTAGCAAATATAACACGGACCGAAGAAGAGTTTACTTTCTATCCTTTTTGTAACGGAAGTGCAAAGCATGATTTTTACAAATGACATCCACATATAGGGCGACATCTTGTGGAAATAACCTATACATTTTAAACTAGAATCATAAAAAAAGATAAATTATAGTAGTAGAAAATTGAAAGATTTAAATCTCTAGCATGGGTTTTTTTCTTTTTCTTTTTTAAATGATGGTTGTGGTTTCAGTCCTCTGGATTTAGCAGCAGCAGAAAAGGAATTAAGAAAAGGAATAGTTTTTGCAGAACTAGCAGTGTGGCGAGTCGGAAACACGAACTAAGAATTGATTTTACCGTTAAGAAAACGATCGTGGCTTGAGACGAGACGCAACTTTCTGAGAAAAAAATAAGACACTAAAACTTCACTATTTTTCGGTCTTTCGGTTTAGAATTTATTCCCGAAGTAAATTATCAATAATGCCTTCCCGAAACTTGGAGCGCACAGATTCATTTCACCGCTTATCGTCGCTTTGGCAGGAGCCAGTGCGCAAGATCCTCCAGTGACTTGATCGTATGCTCGGCTTCCGATTGGTTTTGCCTGTAAAACCGGAAGCGCGCTCGTTTAAAGCCGTCATTTTACGTGGATGGACTCGGGCCACTTCCGGCGTAGTGATGGCAGCTAACGCGACCACCAACCCGTCTCAGCTGCTGCCGTTAGGTAAGCGTCTGCCTTTAGGGAACCCGCCGGGAGCCGCGTCCGAAGCAGCCCTGGACGAGGCAGGAAAGCTGTGTGAAGCCCCAGCGCTCAGTTTTCGCGGCTCGCTCTGGCCCGCGTCTCTGCGCGCAGGGGCAGGGAGGCGGAGGCTGCAGGTTTGGCGTTCAGAAGCACGGCGCGCGCGCGGTGTAGGCTAGGGGGCGTGCCCAGGGGCAGTGCTGGAAGCTCAGGCCCGGTGTTAAGAAGCGGCTCCCTCTCAGCATTTAGAGCTCTCAAATTATTCTGGCCTGTTGCGTATTTGGCTGATTGAAAGTAGAAAGAAACTGAAAAGAGACAGGTTAGGGTTAGGGTGGCAACTCGTCCTGTTTTCATCCATACTTCCATCCGTCCATCCATCCTACAAGCAATTCGCATATCATGGCCGGGACTGTTTAACAATGAGTTTAAACCCTCGCCATTGCTTAAAAACAATGGCACAGCCGTTAAACATCAGGCTGGATTACGCTGTTGAGCTGGCTAAAGATGTCGAAGACTTTAGCGCAGAAGATAGACTTCCTAGGATGAGGGGAGAAAGTGAGAGGAAAGTTTTTGGTGAAGATAACTTACTGTAATGTTTTGTAGCTGGTGAAGAATGATTTAGTTCTTAGATGTGGTTGTAATTGAAAAGCTTACTCCTGCATATGGCAGATTTTTGGAATGCCTAGTATATGCCACATTCTGTGTATTGGAGAAACAGTTATGAGCAAAAGTAACCTTGGTCTTTGCCCAAATGGAGTTAGCAGTGTTGTGTGTCTTTCTGTGTTACTCAAGTAAAGAAGGAAGCCCCAACCATATAAGTAAATTGCTACAAAGAAGAGGTAAGTAAAGGTGAAGGGAAATTTTCCTATTAATGATTGAGCTGAAAGACCTAGTCTTTGCTCTTAAATAATGGTTATGAATGGATACAACAGTTATTTGTTGGAATAACAGATAAATTTTTTTTTCTCTCTGCAGAGCTTGTGGACAAATGTATAGGATCAAGAATTCACATCGTAATGAAGAGTGATAAGGAAATTGTTGGCACTCTTCTAGGATTTGATGACTTTGTCAGTATCCTTTTAAAAAGTGGTGGTATGGGGCTGGGGATTTAGCTCAGCGGCATAAGCGCCTGCCTTGCAAGCAGGCAGTCGTGAGTTTGATCCCCGGTACCGATAAAAAGAAAAAAGACAAAAAAAAAAGGTGGTAGTGTAGTTTTAAAAAATGTATTTAATGATATAAGATAACATACAAGCTACACATAATCAGTATGTTTTTATTATAATAAAAGTCATTTTATTTTTAGGGAACTTGTGATAGTGTATTCTGTGCTGGTGATAAAACCCAAGGCATCATGGATGTTACGTAAACACTACCACTGTGCTATACTCCTGTCTCTTGTGACAGTTTTATTGAAAGATTAATTTTCTATGAAAACAACTTTTCTTGTTTTTTTTTTTAGTACTGGGAATCAAACTCACAAAGCTTGCCAGGCAGGTACTTGTGCCGCTGAACTAAATCCCAGCTGTTTTGGTTTTTTGAAACAAGGTCTCCCTATGTAGTCCATGCTTGCCTCTAACTCATGGCAGTCCACCTGCCTCAGCGTACTGAGAGTGCAGGTGTGTGTGTCAACATTCCCAGCTACTCTTTTTTTATTTTACCCATTGTTTTAGGCATAATTAAAACTGAACAAAAGAAGCCAGAGTAAATTCAGCCTAATATATTTATTTTCTTAACACCAAATTTCAGATATGGTGCTAGAAGATGTCACTGAATTGTAAGTAGCATTGAAATTTAAAGAATTGAGGGAACCTCTTTAATTAAAGATTTTTAATTTTAGTACACATGAATTGTTAAAATGATTGATGAGAAAACATTTCCTACTGAGTTACCTGAAGACATTTTATTTACTGTAAAATTGGATCAAGCTATTATCTTCATGTAATCATTGGTAAATTGATAGGAAATTAGCATAAAGAGGGTTAGGGATTTAGCTCAGTGGTGTAAGTTCCTGCCTGGCAAGCCCAGGTAGTGAGTTTGATCCCTGGTACCAAAAAAAAAAAAAAAAAAAAGAAAAGAAATTAGTGTAAAGAAAACTGTAAGATAGAAGATACTAAAAACAGCACATTTTGGGGCTGGGGATTTAGCTCAGCGGCATAAGCACCTGCCTTGCAAGCTGGTGGTCATGAGTTCAATCCCAGGTACTGATTAAAAAAAAAAAAAAAAAAGACAGCACATTTAGGACTCAGTGTAATATGAAATGTCTTTTTTTGAGATGGGGTCTCTTTATGCAGTTCAGGCTGGCTTAAGCTCACTTTGTAGCCCAGGCTGGTCTTGAACTCGCAACGATCCTCTCACCCCAGTCTCCCGAGTGCTGGGATTACAGGCGTGAGCTTATAACTAGTGTTTTCTATTTTCAAAATCGAAGTGGATTACAGATTGGTTTAATGGATAAGAATCAGTAGTAATAGATGAGTTCAGGTCGGACATGGTGGCCTGTAATCCCAGCACTGAGGTTGAGGCAGGAGTATTGAAGTGAATTGCAGGCTAGCCTAGGCTACATAGTGAGTTTAAGGCAAGCCTGCCCTACAAAGTAAGACCCTGTCTAAAACACTGTTTAAAAAAAAAAATCGGAGCATGGTGGCTCATGCCTGTAATCTAAGCCCTCTGGAAGTGAAGCAGGAGGATTGTTACGAGCTTGAGACCAGCTTAGCTACAAAGTGAGCTCAAGGCCAGACTGAACTGCATAGAAAGACCCTGTCTCAAAAAGACAAAAAAAAAAAAAAAAAAAAGATTAAAGAGACTGAGGCATCCAAATGTGTGGGTCTTATGCTAACCCATTTACTCTATTGCTTTTGTGGTCTTTTTTTTTTTTTTTTTTTGTTTTGTTTTCATTTTTATCAGTACCAGGGATCGAACTTGAAGCAAGGCAAGGCAACTCAAGGCAAGGCAAGACAGGCGCTTATGCTGCTGAGCTAAATCCCGGCCCCTACTCTGTCGCTTTTGATGAAGATTATATATTTTGGGGCTGGGGATTTAGCTCAGTTGCATAACCTCCTGCCTTGCAAGCAGGCAGTCGTGAGTTTGATCTCTCGTACCGATAAAAAGGAAAAAAGACAAAAAAAAAAAAAAAGATTATATATTTTGTCTCCAAAAAGTAAGAATGTAATTGCCTCACCTCAAATTCATATGTGAGAATACCATTTTTGATGTTGGAGATTTAAACATACAGCCTTGTGTGTGCGGAGTACATGCTTTACCACTGAACTACACCACTAGCCCCAAGAATAACCTTTTTAAAAAGGGAGGAAAAATATTTACAAAATGTTGGGTTTGATTACCTGTTTATCCTGACTCTTATCTCTTTGTTTAGTGAGATTACACCAGAAGGAAGAAGGATTACTAAATTAGATCAGATCTTGCTAAATGGAAATAATATAACCATGGTAAGGCACATGAATGCTGTTTTATTTAGATGCTGGCCCATTTTTATGGGATGGGAATTATAAAATTAGATTGGCCTGCTGCTAATGTTTGTTTCATTTAAATGCTCATAACTTAGTAGTATTTAAGATGGGAAAGGGGTTCTCTGATGATCCAGGCCTTAAAGCTGAGCTGTTAAAAAAAGCATTGAGCCTAAAGATTACTTTGCTTGGGCTTTTTAATCTTTAATTTTGTCTGGAACTTTTGTCAAGATACTTTACTAGTTGATGATGTTAGGAATTATAAACAGATATGGATGACGTGGAGAAAATGGGAGTGTGAGAGAGGAAAAGAGGCAGAAGTATCTTTGGCTGATGAAAAACACTTCTGGGTTTTTAAGTGATGTATAATGTTATTAATAAATTCTTTTTTTATCCCCCCCAATGCAGTTAGTTCCTGGAGGAGAAGGACCAGAAGTATGAATGGATTTTTCTCGTGGGTTCCGTTTTGTCTTAGAATGGCAAGAAAATAGAATTTTAAAAAATCTTTTAATGTTTAGATTCTATAAATCTTAAGTTTCCCGTTAAAGGGAAATGCTTTGAAGATGTATTGTATACCCATTTTCTAAGTTAATCATGATTGTCTTGGAAAAAGAGAAAAGGTGTTTGTTTTTTGAAGACTAAAAAATAAAGATGTTTTTGGTTAATTGTTACATGCTTCAATAGGTGGTGGAACAAAGATTATACTTTGCTACTTGTGTTCCTGTCATTTTTATCTGTTTGCATTGTCATTTATGTGACCATATGATTCTCAAGTAGTTGTTTTCAGGCAAGATGATAGGCCTTAATTTTTTTTTTTTTTTTTTTTTTTTTTTTGGTAGTGGGGATCGAACTCATGACCTTGCACTTGCTAGGCAGGCGCTTATGCCTTGAGCTAAATGCCCAGCAAGATGATAGGCCTTAATTTTGAACTGGTGCATTTAAAACACCTGAATTGATTACTTAGAAAATTCCTTTTGAACTCCAGTATCATATATTGAAGATTTTTCTTTGGCATTGTTCAGTTTGGGGTTCTAAGATTTTGTGGTTGGTAGGATCACTGGGGCTAGGGATTAGGGACTGACTTATTTTCCAGATTTGATGTGGAAACTACTGATAATCTTGTGCCTGCAGCTAACTGGTCTCATTAAAAAGTGAAGCAAAGCTAAACAACAAAAGAAATAAATGTTAAGAGTTCCACAAAATTAAAAACTTGCATTTCAAAGAATATCAAGAAGATGGAAAAAAAAAACCCACAGAGTGGGAGAAATTTGTAAGTCATACAACTGTTAAGAGTCTCATTTAGAACTTACAAAGATCTGTTATAACTCAATAGTAAAGAGACAAACCAATTAAAAAGTGGGCAAAGGATCAGAATAAAGTTTCCCCAGGAAAATACACAAATGACCCATAAGCATGGGGTCACATCAGGGAAATGCAGATGGGAACCGCAGTGGGGTACCACATCCTGTACACTATCGTGTAGCTATAAGAAGAGGAATAGGAAAAAGAGGAAAGCCACAGGTGTTGGTGAGAAAATGAAACTAGAGCTGTGGTACAGAGCTAATGGGAATGTAAAATGATGCAGCTGCTCTGGAAAAAATTCAACAGCACTGTCATACGACTCAACAGTTCCTCTCCTAGGTTTATACTCTGGAACTGAAAAATGTGCACACAAAAACATACACAAATGTTCACAGCAGCATTATTTATAATTTTCCAAAAGTGAAAATAACCCCAAATGCCCATTGGTGGTTAAATAAAGAGATTTGGGTATCTCTGATATTGGCATTTGGCTCTGCCAGGTTAGACCATGTGACTGGGCCTACTTTGGGGCAGAAAAGTTGTGGATTTTCATACTTAGAGAATGGGGCTCTGAATTTAGCTCAGCGGAATAAGCACCTGCCTTGCATTTAGCTCAGCGGAATAAGCACCTGCCTTGCAAGCACACAGTCTTGAGTTCGATCCCCGGTACCAAAAAAAAAAAAAAAATTGGAGAAGTTTTAAAGTTAATGCATGTACCCCCAGCTCCTGTGCTGAGAATTGAACTCAGCCTCAGGAGTGTTAAGACAATTCTCTATTGCTGAGGCTGAACTCCAGCCCTATTCTGATTCCTTCTGAGCCTTTTTTTTTTAGTCAAAATCTAAACTGTTTCTAGTGATCCTAAGAAAATAACCAAAGGAATGACAGTTGACTTTTGGGAGTGACCTCATGATAGACTGTTTTAGTCCTCTGTGGCTTGAAGGGTTAAGCCAAGGGGATGAAAACAAAAGATAGGGAGTGTAAGGGAAGAATGCTTTTCCGTTCTTGATGTTTTCTTCCATATACAGAAAGATTATTCTCTGTGTGTCAAGAGATTTGCATAGATTTACATATTATCAAATATAGGGAAAAGGAAATTAGGGTGCTTACTCCATTTTCATTTAGGGTTTGGGCTGCTTTCAGGAAGCGTTTGGTTCTGCTCTGCTGTGCATTTCAAATTTTTATAGCTGTTTACCCTATGTGAAGATGTCTAGGCTGGTCCAGAATGTCTGCAGTTTGAGGGATGAGTATGAGGCATTGTGGAGTTGCATACAAAGAAGTTAACGCAGACCCCCATCAGTAATCAAAGTGACCTCTGGCTACTATTTGCCTTTTTTCTCATTTGGTTTGGACCTCAGCTGTGGAAGAGGTGTGCTAATTATTGGATGCCCTGATTCCATTATTCTGGAGCGTGCTGTTCTAGTACATCTTATTTTCCCCTTGGCTCCTGTCACATAATTTCCACAGCTGTTGGAGCATTTGAATGATTTATCTGAAATGCAGGGTCAGGTCATGTAGCACTGGCTCTGAACCCTGCAGGAACTTACCTTCCATGTAAAGGGCCTAAGGTCTCTAGCAGGACACTGAAGGGTACCTGTAGACCGTGGCAACCACATCTTGGCCTTGCTTTAGTAATATAGGATGTTCAGTGCTGGCTGTTTCCCTGCTTTGGTTTTACTGTTGGGCCTCGGTGGGAATAGGTGTGTCTGAACTACTCTTGCTTTGGTTCACGTCTACTCAAGAGTAGCTGAAGTACCAGTTCCTCTTGGAAGTCCTTGAAGATCTCCCACCTGTCTCTCCCTACTAAGCTTGTAGTCCCAAAGACTGCAAAGTCCATTTTCATTATCTACTATCTGTCTTGCACAGCTGTTGGCTTCTGCGGGAACAGTGTTGAGCAGTGTTTACCATGCAAAATACTGGTTTCTCAGGAAACAAACTTTGTATGTTTTGGATAGGATTTTGCTTTGTCATGTAGGCTGGCCTTGAATGCCTTGACCAGTCTTGCCTCATTCTTCTGAGGGCTGGGATTATAGGCATGTGCAACCACACCTGCCTGAAACAAACGTTGGCTGTTGGATCTGAGATCAGAGTGTGGGCTGTCACTAACACTACCAGCTCCATCATATGAATATCTTAAAGAGTCTGGGTAGCATGGGCAGTCAGCTGATCCACAGTACAGTCACGGAACTGTGAAGACGGGAGACAGATGCTCTGGGAATCCCAGCCTAGAAGACAGCAGCCCTCACCAGCCTCTCTCTAGTGAGTGGAGATGCCCTTGATCTCAGATCAGTCTGCTGCCCACATTCGTGCTCTAACTGCCCTTCACAAGGAGCATGAGGTCAGTGGGCATGAGTTGGAACAGGGAATGAGGAATCAGCTGTACTGTACCTTACCCAGGGGTGACCCTGGCTGAAGCTTGATCTGTAGGGATCTCATTCTTGAGTCCAAGAAAAATTATGCATGCACTCACTGGCCACTAGAGGGCACTAGAGCTAAGCTGCTAGTTGGCTAAGGCCACTACTGTACTTTTTAATTTTTCTTGAAACCTTAGTGAAACTCAGGTTTCTTGTGGCCCATACTGCTGTATTTATTAGTGAGTCACAGAACAAGGACATAAAAAGGGAGAAGTCATACTATATTTTATACTTTTAAAAGGCTTTTCCTTTCGTCTTTCCCACATGTGGTATCTTTTCTACCAAATAAAATATGCCTTCAGTGGACCCTAACCCTGTTCAAAACTTGTTTTGTGATTTGGGACAGCTGACTTAACCTTGCTTTGTATATTGGGTTTTAAAGGTAAGAAAGATTATAAATGGTGTATTCAATATAATTTTATTTCTATAGTCACTGCTCAGTAAAAGCTGTAGTCGTTACTATCACCTAAAGTCTCTGAGCCAACCTGTTTTTATGGTTTTCCATTACAGCTGTTCCTTTTTTTTTTTTTTTTTCCTTTTTGAGACAAGATCTCACTATGCAGTACAGGCTGGTCTTGAGCTCATTTTGGAGCCCCGGCTGGTTTTGAATTTGCAACAGTCCTCCTACCTCAGCATCCCAAGTGCCTGGATTACAGGTGTGGACCACCACGCCTGACTGACAGTTCCTTTCTAGTTGCAACTGCCAATAATATTTATTTATTTATTTAGTCCATAATATTTGCCCCAAGAATGAAGGCCTGTAGTGATTACATATGGGCTAGATAGTATTTGTTGAATGAAGTGACAAAAGAGTGGGAATCTTTTATTTTTTAAGACAAAATGGGCTTTATGAATTGGGAAAGAATTGAATTTATAAAGCAGATAATTAAGATAGTATGAGCAGTAAAGTAAAGCAGGAAGATTTTAAGATGTGTTCACAATAATTCTCAGGATTATCATAATTCATTAATACAAAGCTTCAAAGGTCATTCATTGAACATCTGCTTTGTGCCTTCCTCCAGAAGCTCACTGCTGGCCAGGGAGACAGCACTGTCCCCATTTGTGATACAATGTGATGACTACATTGGGTTCTTTCTCCTTCTTTTCTCTCTTTTGAGATGGTGGGGTGATGAGGCATTTAAGCCTTCACACTGTACTATAACCCCAGCCCTTTTTATCTTGTTTAAAATTTTGAGACAAAGTCTTAGTTGCCCATCCCAGTCTTGAGTTTCATGATCCTCCTTACTCAGTCACCTGAGTAGCTGGAATTACAGGCATGCACCACAGCACCCAGCTTACATTAGCTTTTTGAGTATGTAAAGATACTTGGATCCTGCTTATGGGAATAGACAACAGAGAAGGCATCTGGGCTAGCTTTTCTGTTTGCCTCTCACCTCCATCTTCCCAGGGTCCATTCTCTGCCCACATCAACTATTCTGTGTTCCAGGATGCTGAATCCTGCCTGCAATGTGGCTTGTGCTCAGTAGAATTTTTCCAAAGGGAGACAGCCACAGGAGATGGGCGTGGAAGGAGTCTGCCATCCCTTTCCTGTCTCCTCTCCTTCCTTGCTTCACCTCACAGTGCAGTGGTTCTCCAGGACACAGCTCAGGTGATCTCAAAGGGCCCCGTGTAACACTAGTGTGACAGCGTTAAGAGGTGGGACCCTTCTGTGGCACATCCCTCATGAGTAGACCAGTGCCCTTTGTATCGCCTCATGGTTGTGGAAATGAGTTTGTGAGAAATGGAGAACTTTTCCCCTTGCTCGTGTGCCTTTCATTGAAGCGTCTACATTTGTGAAATGCTTCTGATGTACTGTCCTCTGTGACTAGCAGTTTTGTAGGTAATCTTTTAAAACAGTGATGTTTACTGTTTCTTGCTCTCTTCCCTCTTCCTCTTCAGTTTCAATGCGAGAAAACTTAGAAACTGTCAGGGTGAATCATGGCTGGCTGTAGAAGTCTTATTGTATACAAACAGACGAGCTCAGGCACGTCTTTCATCCTTTTTGGGTCTCGCTTTCCTCATCTTTTTGTTTTTATTTCAAAGTGAGGCAAACAACAGTAAATTAAAACAAAACCAAACCATAATAGGACAGTACAAAAACCACAATTATCACTATATTGCATAATCTTATCCTCTAATTAGTTGCTCAAGCTACTGGCCCCAGGCGTGCAAAGTCAGTTAAACAATTTTAATGTCAGGTTGCTGCCTTAGGTGAGTTGGTATCATCTAGGCCTGTTTTGTGTCCGGCAGCGGGAGTCAGGAGGCAGAGGTGGCTTCCTTGCTGGTCCTCCCTAGCCAATAGGGCTTCCAGCAGCACACGGATAGGCTGCAGGGCTTCCTTGCTGCTTCTCCCTAGCTGACAGGACCCCCTCTGATACCCAGGGAGGCTGCATGGCTTTCCTGATGCATCTTTCTGGCTGACAGGGCCTTTGCTAGCACACAGGAGGCTGCGTGGCTTTCTTGCTGCTTCTCCCAGGCGATAGGGCCTCTGTTGGCACACAGGGAGACTGTGTGGCTTCCTTGCTGCTGCTTCCCCACTGGAAGGCCTCTGCAGGGGTTGTTGAGACTGCATTCTTTTCTCGCTGTTTCTCTGTGGCAAGCAGGAGCTCTAGCAATGCATGGTGGGTGGGGCTGCATGGCTTCTTTGCTTTTTCTCTACTGCCGGTAGGGCCTCTGCGGGCACACGGGATGCAGGGACTGTGTTTCTTCCTTACTGTTTCTCCCCATCCAGCAGGAACGCTGCCCCTGGTTTTCTTTTCTTTTCTTTCTTTTTTGGATTCCTGAATTATCTTTCTCCATGGGCTTCAAGTCTCAGTTCAGATCCGTCCTGTGTCCACAGGACCCACCTTTTTCTTCCTTCCCTTCTTCATGTTGCTAGATTCCAGGGTCTGGACACTGAATTTGGAAAGATTCTTTTTCTGCTGTTCACTGCTCGCCCATTTTCTTGTAAGTTCTTTGCCTTCTTCACCTTTTAAACCAAGGCAAGAACGCCTGCCTTTCCTGCTTCCTGCAGTTATTCTAGGGGTGCCGGGGTCTCATAAATGTGAAATGCTTTATTTAACCTGAGTAACTTTCCATACTGATGTGCAGGCTAGTGTTGCATCCCTATTTCTTAATCTCCAAACACCAGCTGTGAACATCCTGGGTGACCTTTTTTTTTTTTTTTTTTTTTTTTTGATACTGGGGATCAAACTCATGACCTTGTACTTGCCAGGCAGGTTCTTGTGCCACTGAGCTAAATCCCCAGCCTGACTTTTAACTTTTTACCATACTACCTTCCAGAAACAACTGTGGCAGCCTACAAGGATGCCTACAAATGATTGGTCATATTTCCTAGAGATAAGAAGATCGTGAGCATAGGTTGTGATGAGCATAGGTTGTGATGTATGGCTTTCCTTTGTAGGAAGGACTCTATGTCCTTTAACTACTTTCTATAGTCTCTTAGTTGCTGCATCTTGGGCTATAGGATCATTGACTTCCTCATAGCAGCCCTGTTGCTTGTCAGTGGTTCTAACGAGCTTCATGGTCAATGTTTCATGAATGTGGTGAGAGATGGAAAGGACTTTGTTTTTCTCTAGAGTTGCTAAGAGCATCTCTTGATAACTACAGCTGCAAGTGTGCCACCTAGTGGAGAAAGTGAAGTTTGTCAAGAGGCAGCCTGTGCCAGCCAGAGGGCAAGAAATTTCTGGGAAGGAAGTGAATGTTCAGCAGACCAATTTGGCTGAGCTTTTTTCCTAAATCCAGATTGGGTGTGCTCATCACCACGGTGGGGATTGTGGGAATTTAGTAGTAAGATTCCCATTGTGAAGGGACCACAAATGAACTGCTAATAGACATCTCTTTTTGTTATTCACCTGGCCTCTATCCTGAAATCTGAGGGGGGATCTGGCTTCGTACTGTCTCTGTGGCTGGTGTGGAGGATGACACAAGCTTATACTGGATCTGTGGCTTTCAGAGCCCAGGATCCAGAGAGTACTGCAGTGGAAGGAGCTTACAACAGCTCTAAGCCCAATTGCATACTTTATGTGTGAGGAGACTTAGGCCAGTGTTATGGCTTTGTATCTAAGTGTCCTTGGAAAGCCTCATGCAGTCATAGGTGGGGCTTTTCGGAGTGGCTGGACCCAGAGTGTGATGCTGGGATTGATTCATGGTGCAATGTTAGGGTTAAGGGCGCCCAGCCTGGATGTGAGTGCCACCTGCACTAAGGGTGGCAGTTGGATAGAAAATAAGGGCTAGAAAGAGGGCAGCCATTGTTGCTTGCTGTTGATTTGTTCCTTTGCTCCCACCATGAACTGTTTCTTCTCTACAATGCCCCTCTGCATCGCCACCTTGCCTTGGAGGCAGCCATGTATGCACTGAAACCTTTACAGAGTGTAAGTTAAGTAAATCTTTTCTCCTTTAACTTTGAGTGTTGAATATTTTGTCTTAGCAGTGACAGCCAGAGGAGGGGCCCAAGTCCCTCATGCTGGGGCCAATGGAACCTGGTTTGAGCTGTTACTCAGCCACTCAGCCTGCTTGACTGCATGGTGATTGTTGGGTTGCCTGGAGGAGATTACCCTCCCTGTCAGCAGCTACTCAAAACTTACCTTGGAGCAGTGGTGTTTCTCCATTCTGTCCTAAGGATACTCACAGAGCCTGCAGGTCCAGCCTCCTGGTACCTTGAGAAAAGCTGACAGTCAGACATGAAAACCAAATAGCATGGGAGGTTCAGGATGAGGGATTTAGCTGGAACAGAAGCCTGGAAGGAAGAAGCCCCTGAAAGGAGTGTAAAGGCCGCGTGTGTGTATCCACCTTCTAATACTTGCTGTCATTTCTCAGGGGTGTGTCTTTAGAGAAATTGTTTAATAAGCCTTAGTACCTTCTTCTGTAAAATGGGAATGATAACAGGTGTGTCATGGTTACACGAGAATGGTGTGTGATCGTGTGTAGGAGTTTATCTCATGAATTCTCCCACTGGCAGCCAGGGATGACATAAAACACAGAGATCATGAATACCACAGGCAAGTGCGGTGGATACTTCCACAGGTGACAGTTTCCTTGCCCCTCCCTGGCAACAGCTGTGGGTCTGGGGGACCTCACATCTTTCTCCCTTTGCAGAGCTCCTTTAAGTTCCCTCTAGTTGTGCAGGTTAAAGACACACTGCCATTGAATTACACTCCCCTTTGCTATGTTATTTTGAAGCAAATCTCTCAATGTCATGGTATTTCTAAATGCATTTCTTATAATGAGTATGTTTTCCTATAGTAAAATCACATCTAATCAATTTAGACATAATTCATTAACGTTTATTTAGTACTCAGTCTGTATTCAGATGCACGCAGTTGTCTTGAAACTTTACAGAGAATTGACTGAATCAGGTCCATTTATTCATTACATTTGGTTGTTTGGTCAACAAACTTTTGAGCAGAGCTGCTGCAGCTGTGGGACAGGGTTATTGTAATTCTGCTGCTCACTTTTAGAGAGCTGCCATGCTGGAGAGGGAAAGCTCAGTGGGACTAGAGATTATGAGCCGGATTTTCAGGTCCACAGGTTCCTGGTTTATTTAAAGTTATGTGATTCTTTCATTTTCTGTGTTTGAAATTATTTGGAGTGGATCATTGATCATTGAAAGTGAACAATGCAAGGAGTGAAACAGCTCTTGGCTTGATATGCTTAGCACGCAGGTTTGAAACTTCATTTGAAACTCATCCATGTTCTTCCATGTTGTGTATATTGAGCATCGTTTATATGCCACAACTGTGCTAGAGACGAGACAAAAGTCAGAAAACAGCAAGAGAGGTCTTAGGTCCATGGAGGACACAGGTGTGACCTTCTGGCTGTGGATGCTCTACAGAGGAGTGCAGAGAGTGCTCTGGGCACACAAAAGGAAAAGGAGGTTTTGGCTCCCCTGGATGTTCAGGGAAGGCCTTCCTAAAGGAGAAATCACTGAACTGAGCATTGAATAACTTTTCATCATTGCTGGTAGAGGCAAAAAGTTATTCTCAGCACTAAAACTTCCTAAAATGCAGCTACACTCTCAAGTGACAGTGTCTTACAACTCACATAATGGATATTTTCTTTAATTTTCTTCAATAAACACCAAATTGTTACAGTCATAAGTTGTCTTTGATGAATTCTTTGAACAGGAAAAGAGCTTGTCACTGTGATGCATATTGTAAAAAACAACACTCAAATGGTGAGCACTCTGTCCTTCTGCTTTGCTACCCCATAAAACTTCCCTCTATGAGCCTTGGGAGCCTCCTGACCTCTTTGGATATGATCCCAGTTGGAACTGCTGGTGTAATAGGCTAATTCTTGCTTTTAAACCTGCAGCTGTGGGAAAGGGTTATTGAAGTTCTGCTGTTCACTTTTAGAGAGCTGCCATGCTGGAGAGGGAAAGCTCAGTGGGACTAGAGATCATGAGCCAGATTTTCAGGTCCACAGGTTCCTGGTTTATTTAAAGGGTTCTTGGTCATGGCTTTGCTGTTACAGTAAAATCTCATATATTTGTATACTTTGCATTAAATTTTTTTCTCTAGTAAGCGCTGACTGATACACCCCATGAGTAAGAGTGTTTACATGAAGAGTTTGGAGGCACAGGGTGAGGGGACAGTGGCAAGAAGAATTGGGCAAAGATGGATATCAGCAGACATTAAGAGTGGAACAATGGCTTTGGAGGGGACAATAGTGAAAGAAATGTGGGGTTTGTTTGGAAGGAGGGAGTTGAGTTGAGATAGTCAAACACTGAATTCCAAAGACAGAAGCATCACTCTGCACCTGGGTTTCTTTCTTCAGGCCTGTGTGTAACATCTAGTCTTCTGCTTCAGACCTGTGTTCAGAAGAGGAAGACAGACTGGTCCTCAGAGTCTGAGGAGGAGCTGCAGGAGGACATACTGGGTCTCTTTGTGGAGTATGTGGGCTGGAACTGTACTTCCTGCCTCAGTTGCTTGCCCAGGAGATGCAGGATTGCTCCTCAGAATTGGAATAAGAAATGAAGAGGATAGTTATGAAGGAGGTTCTGACTCAATCCTGAGGGGTCAATCCAGACTCTCACCGCAGTCCTCTGGCTACAAATGGCAGAGGGCGTGGTCACTGGAATTGAAGGAGGATGAGAGGGAAGGGAACTGGTGCTTTAATTTAGCCCTCAGGGAAGACAGAGGCTTCTCCTTCATAAAAGGTGGAGAGAACGTCTGTCCTTGTTGCATCAGGAGGCATAGGAAACACTGGGACAGTTACGGCCTGTGCCTTCGACACACACAGGGGTCCTGGAGATTTGTGACCTCAAGAGGAAGTTGAAAATGAAGCATCTGTCTTCAGTGCTGCCTGAGTACCACATGGTTTTCACCAGGCTGCTCAGGAAGGAGGCCCTATCACAGTGCTTTTAACTTGGTTTTTAAGGAACACAAGAGAACTGTGATTACTTGTTTAATCCATGGAAGGGAGCACTCTGAGATCTCTGAACTGTTTATTCCTGAAGGATGCTGGTACCGTGTCCCTCCTCAGAAACAGATGACAGTGATGAGTCCTTAAAACATGTCCCCCATTGGAATCACAAAGTTTGGTTCCAAGCCCTGTGACCTGGAGCAATTGCTGACTTTTCTGAATGGAAATCACTGAGGCACTTAAAGGACAACATGGTCATAGTCACACATGATGTGACCATTACAAAAGAAAGTGACTTGGATGCCTGAGATTGTACATTTCCATGCCATGAGAGAAGACTGAAGTGTGCTCTGATGTCCTTACTAGGCAGAGTTGCTGCTCCCCAGGGGATCACTCAGTTACTCCTCTGTGAGTCTCAGGGATGAGGCCCTGTCACCTGTGCACTAAACATTCTTCTTCCTTCTCTTCCCATCTCCCTGACTCTAGATCCATCCAGAACTATCTCCCAGGCAGGTTTGGTTCTGCTCCCTCTTTTCTGGTTTCTAGGGAAATTTAACACTCAGTACTCTTCACAGAGGATCCTGTTGTCAAAAGATTTCTGCCTTGGCCATGAACTTAAGAGCATTTGACAAGGTGAGGTCCTTTTCCCTTAAACTGGGCTGTTGATGCTCAAAGAGGAGCCATTTGTGAAAACAGAAACACCTCTCACTATGGGAACCAAGCTTATTTTTGAAGGCAAGACAAAGGATGTGAGGGAAGCAAAATGAATTAATTTGTCTGGAGGAAATGACAATGACACTAGCGGAGGTAAATAATGCAGTTTACTAGGGGATGGGAATTGCCATAGCCACTGCTGTTGAACAGAAGATGGAACAATGCTATTTCGCACCTCACATCTAAAACCTGAATAACAGGTGTTCATCCATGTGCAGTCAGTTCTGCCACATCATCATAAAAGGTAGTAATGGTTTTATTTGGAGCATGTGGCATATGTCGCCCTTGTAAAGGGCCATGAAACTGCCAAAGGACTCCAGTGGGCATATGTGAGTTGGGAACATAATTAAAAACATTGGCGAAGATGAGACAACTCTAGAGAGTTGAGCTTTAGGGAGAGACAAATCAACTTTGTCAAAGGCAGTTTTAGCCTCTGATATAAGTGCTGTTGGAGAGATGGGGCCAGGTTCCTTAGAGAATGTCAAAGACAGGGTGTAAATCATGAGTCAGCTTAAGAGCTGGGCAGAACCCAGTAGAGACTGAGCATCAGTTAGGGTGGCAAGATGATCAGCCTGGATCTGAACAGTTTGGGGCACAAGATGTGACTTGAAGAAGGTGACCCAAACATGAAACTGGTGCTATAGTTTTCAACTTTTCAGGGGCCACAAGTAGGTTTACATTATAAAGGGCATCGACCAATCTGACAAGTATCTGGTGCAAAGTGGATGAGCATTCATGTGCTAGGAGAAAACTGCGGTATTCCATAGGGCTATCAGAGGATTCTAGGTGTACTGCCATCATCTGTTCTTAACCGGTTAAGAGCTGCTGTAAGCGTTTCCTGAGTGAGAGGTCATTGATCAACCCAAACTGCATAATCAGATATCCAAGTTATCTTGGGCACATCTGTGGGTTCAGAGAAGAGATCAAGGTCTCTCCTGAAAATATCAAAGTGAGTAGTCTATACCAAAATGGTCCTTTTTAGGGATAACTGGAAGAGGTTCTCTCCTTCCCTGTTTGGTTTTCCAAGCCCTTGAGTGGGAAGGAAATCTTATTGTCCCATCTGATGAGTCACTGAAGAGTTAAGGCTTGCCAAATATGCCCCCTGTCCTGTAATACATCACAACCCCATAGATTGACTGGTATAGGGGGAGGGTATAAGGTAAAAAATGTAACGAATGGCCTTCTGCATCCCTCCACGTTAACAATGTAGCACTTCTACAGGGTGAGAAGCACTGCCTACCCCTTGTAGGTCCCTAGTTGCTACATTGAAGGGCCATGCCATAGGGTAATGGCAGTGGGTAATAAGTTAAACATCTGCACCTGTGTCTAAAAGCCCTTTGAATGTTTTTCCTTCAATAATCAATTCCATCTGGAGATGATCCTGTTTAATCTGTTGAACCCAATAAGCATCTGAAGACCAGAAACCCTTGGGTCATCTTTCCTTATTCATAGGTTTTCCAATTTTTTTTTTGTCAAAGAATTGGGCAATATGAGAGTCTGGAGTGACCTGAATAGTGTTTTGAGTAGTTTGAACCATATCATTGATTTCCTCTGTATAATCAGCATTAATGATGCCAGGAAAAACATGGAGACATTTTAAAGTGAGACTGTTGTGGACTAGCAGGAGTCCCACTGCACCTTAAAGCAAAGATCCATAGACTCCAATATGAATAGGTTCCCATTTCAGGAGTTAGCCCACAGCTTTCCTGGAGCTTCCTTTCTGGCTAAACTTACAACAGTTAAAATCATTCTGCTGGACAGCTTGCTCTTGATTCTCGACATAGATCTGGCTAAAAGCCACCAACAGTAGCCATGCCACTGCCTCAACATTCAACTGCCTTGAAATTTCTACAAGATTAATTAGTCTTCTGCTCTTAATTTTAGTCTCGGATAAAGTCTCTGAACATGAGCAAAATGCAAACAAACTTTCTGCCAAGGCATAACACACATCATCCGGAGTCCAGCCAATGAAGTCCTTCTTCCCAGAAGAAACCTCCTGACCATGATCTTTACCTGCTGGATTCTGTCAGTCTCTTGGTCTTCTGAGCTCTGACCAGAATCTCCAATACGGTACAGTCTAAGGTGTTCCAGCTCTACTTTTCCAGCTAGCATTATGAACCTTTCCAAACCCTTTCCACAAACCATTCCCGAGGCTCCTGATCCATACGTTCAGGTAGAGTCAGGGCAACAACTCTACTTCTTGGGTGATAAATTACTTTTCTCATTGCTGAGACAAAATACCTGATGCCCGAAGTTGAAAGGGGAAAGGTTTATTTAGCTCATAGTTTGTAGAGATTTCAGTCCATAGTCATCTGGCTCCAAGGCAGGGCACATGGCGGAGCGGCAACACTTCACGGCAGTGGAAGGCAGCAAAAGCAATGGGTGGGGTGCTTAACAACATCTTTCTGCCCCTTATGCCTTATTCACACCTCTGGAGTTAGGACAGTGTCACACCAATCAGTGGACTGACTAGTCATCGAACACAGTTAATCCCAGTATCACTCAGTGTAGATTCAGCCACGTCCGAGAAAGCCCTGTGACCACATGAGGCTTGGAGTGGCCATCTAGACACAAACTATAATGGAAGTAGGTGAAGTGATCAGAGAAGCAGATATTGATGGAAACAGACAAGGCAGCTATGAAGAGACTACAAGGTGAATTCCTACTTTCAACTAATTTTTCCCACTCTAGAATAATCCAATTGAATCTTTTACCTCTTTCATGAAAGGAAAAACAAAAAGTCACTTAAAAGAAAAAAAGAACATGTATGTCATAGGCTCGCCACCACCAGTCTAGTAAGTCTCCCTCCTATATATTGATCATCCATGCTGCTGCGCACTCCTTGGTAAAATAAACACTTGCTTTAGTGTTGCCATAAACCAGCTTGTGATTTATTTCTCAGGTAATAGAGTATCCAAAAATCCTATAAATACACTTGGGGTTTTTATCCTGAGTAGTGTGGACAGAGCAGTCATTTCAAAAGAGAGCAATAAACACTCAGGGCTCCAGACTGCTTTGTTTTTGGCCTTTTTGAGACAGGCTTTCCCTATGCAGTTCAGGCTATTCTTGAACTCACTTTGTAGCTCAGGCTAGCCTTGACTTTGCAGTGATCTTCCTGCCTCAGCCTCCATAAAGCTGACATTACAGGCATGTGTCACCATGCCAGGCAATGTTCCAGATTGTTAACACAGAAGAGCTCTGGGAGCAGCAGCCAGTGAACACCAGAGGCAGAGACCAGCACCGACTACAGTCAACCTATGGGGCCCAGCACAAGCTGGCACAGGAAGGTGGTGGTCAGCAGCAGCAGAAGAAACCAGCACCCAACAGAATCACATCACAGTGCCAAGCACAAGCTGGCATCAGATGGTAATGTCTAGCAGTAGCTGTGACCGGCAGTTGATTGTGTCAACAGCTGGCATCCAGCATTATGTGGTGACTATTACTGATTCACCATTCCTTATGAATCAAGCAAAGGAACTCTAGACTGACTGGCAATGAAAGTGTTGGGATTACGGGCACATTCAGTGCCTCAGTTACTTTTTTCTCATTGCTGAGACAAAATACCTGACACACAAAATTAAAGAAGAAAAAGTTTATTTAGCTCACACCTTGTAGAGGTTTCAATATGTAACTGGATGGCTCCAAGGCAGGGTGGGATGGCATGAGGCATCAAAAGAAGAGAGGCAGTTCATGGCAGGCAGAAGGCAGCAAAGTAGCAAGCATCAACAACTCTCTTTCTGTTCCTTATATATGTATTTTTTTCCAGGCTACCCACCCTTAGGTTAGGGTTAGGACTAGGGCTAGCATTAGGGTTAGAAGTAGATAGCACTCAGACTCAGAGAGGGCCTTTCCACTGTCACTCCCAGAACTATGCCAAACCAATCAGTGGACTAATTTAGTAAACACACTGTTCATTCTAGTGTTACACCCTCGATCCCAGCACATACACCCCAGATTCAGTCACTACTAAAAAATTCCACCTATGAAGCCATGAGGCTATAGACGCATGCAGTAATACCCAGCCATGTCTGGATCCACAGCATTTTAGAAATACTGAAACTAGATGCCATGTGAAGGAGATGTGAAGGAGAAGCAGAAGTGGCAGTACCAGGGAGGCAGATGTAGTCCCAAAAGGCCAGCTCTAGGGATCCTTTAGTGTTGGAGTTGTTCATTTTCCTTACTATGTGGTAAATGCAGTAACATGCACAGGCAATGCAATTGTACAGATCTTAATACACAGACATACACATAAACACATGAATAGGTACAAAACTGGAAAATGTACATAAGATTGGTAAATTGTATGATCAGCAATATCCTGGTTGTGATAGTACAGGATTGCAAAATGTTATCAGTGGGAAAACTGGGGAAAGAATACAAGGAATCTTTCTATTATATTTTGTTGTCTTTTTGAGACAGAGTCTCCCTATGCAGTTCGGGCTGGCTTTGAGCTCACTTTGTAGCCCAGGCTGAACTCAAACTTTCAATGATTCTCCTGACTCAGCCTCCTGAGATCTGGGATTATAGGCATGTGCTACCATGCTTGGCTCTCTATTATTACAACTTCTGAATTTGTATCAATTTTAATTAAAAAAATTATGTTGGAGTTAGAAACAGAAGATGTATAAATGAAAGGAACAGAAGAAGTATAAATGAAAGAAATTTAGACAAATATTGGGGATTATTCAAACTGGCTGATGGGAAGAAGGGTGTGTGTGTTTGCCTGTTTGTTTTTTGGAAGAGTTGTTTGGTTTTTTGAGACAGGATGTCCACTACGTAGTCTGGGCTGGCCTTGAACTAACTTATGTAGCTGAGGTTGGCTTTGAACTCACAGTGATCCTCCTGCCTCAGCCTCCTGAGTGCTGGGATTACAGAGGAAAATTTATTACGATTAAAAAATAAAGAGCCCATGCAAGCTTTGTCATTCTAATAATTAACTTGTTGGATCTACTTGACAAAGAAATCCCCAGCTAAACTGAATCAGCATAGTTCTGAGTATGCCTGAGGCAATTTACTAAAAGGAGAAGACCTACCCTAGGGAGGATCTTCACCTGAAGGGTATAAAAGGAAATGAAGAAGGATGGCGCACTTCTGTTTCTTTGGAGGAGCTTCGGTCTTCACCTTCACCTTGGCCAGTACCTCCTGGCTTCCAGCGCAGAGTTTCTGGCCTCCTGATACTGACTTGCACTGAGCCCCAGGCCATCGACTGGATCCTTCAGCTCCCCGGGGCACACACAGACAGTTTCCACTGCTCCACACCTGACTCTGTGGGCGGCACCCGGGAAGGAGTGGGCTGGGCTGTTCAGACCCCCGCTCCTCTTATGTCTCACTCCCTTTGTCTCTGCAGTAGTTCAGCATGTCAGGAGACATTGACAAGAAGATCGAACAAGCCATGGTAAGAGAGGACATCTTGAAGCTTTCAGACCCCCAGCATCATTCCTGCTTGCCCTATTTTTCAGGAACACTAACTTTGCACCCTGGTGCCCCTGTGTCTCCACCTCAGCCCTTGATCCCAGGTCCCCATCACTGTCTGTGAACCCTGCCTGTCCCTCATCCTTGTCCCCTCTGCCAGCCCTGTGTCCTCCCCTGTGGCTCCTCTTCCTTGGGCACAGGGACCTCTCACAGCCACAACCTCTGGGCACTAGGCAGCAGATGTGGTTGAGGTGGCCTGGCTGCCCTGACGCTTGGCCTGTTTTGGTCCCCAGGATCCGGCAAAGTCCTATCTCATGTTTGTGGTCCACGAGGAGATGGAGACGCTGAAGGAGCAGATCCGGGACCTGGAGGAACGAAATGTCACACTGGAGCAAGAGAACAGCCTGCTGCGTACCATGGCCAGGCCGGAGCATTTGGCCCAGATGCCCTCCTCAGGGCTCCCCCAGCCTAGGCTCCCCACACACAATGAGCCCTCACCCCCCAGGGCATGCAGTTAGGATCTGCCACACCTGTCAGACCTTGTGCCAACAGCTTGTCTCTTCTTTGCCTGCAGCATCAATGCTGCTTAGCCCAGGGATTGGGGGCTCTACTGTGGCCCCTGTGCCCCTCACCCTATCCTGCTAACCCCAGCCCCCAGGCTTTGAAGAAGGAGGGAGAGCTCAGCATGGGTGATGAATGGAGTCTCTCTCTTTTTTTTTTTTTCTTTTTTCCGATACCGGGGATCGAACACACGACCACCTGCTTGCAAGGCAGGTGCTTATGCCGCTGAGCTAAATCCCCAGCCCTTTTTTTTGGTATTTTTTGAGACGGGGTCTCACTATGCAGTTCAGTTCACTTTGTAGCCCAGGCTGGTCTCAAACTCGCAATGATCCTCCCACCTCAGCCTCCTGAGTGCTGGGATTACAGGCATGAGCCACCACGTCCAGCTCAGTGAATGGAGTCTTTTCTGGGTTGACTGATGCCAGTCCCCCTCCCTCCCTAGTCATCAGTGTTCTGGGTCCCAGCAGTGGGTGGACGGTTGGAGGCTTCCTGGCAGCCGCTCCCCAACTTTATTCTCCTGAAATGTTCCCTCTGCGCTGCCCAGGGGAAGGAATATGGACAGCATCTTAAAGTTCTGGGATTCTGGTTATTCTTCAAATGATAATTACAATTAAAAAATCTGAAGAAACTTGAATTTGGAGGTAGGCGTGGTGTGTGCATGCTGACCTTCGAGGGGTGGCAGGGCAGTTTGAGCCTCTCTGCCCTGGCTGGGCTGCTTCAGTGTGGTATAGATGGTGTGACAGGCCAAGATGTCTGGAGAAATAAGCAAGACCTGTCAATTATCATACCCAAGGACTGCACTCAAGACCTGGGTGGGTCCTGTCAATATCAAGATACTAGGGTGCAGAACCTCAGGAATTTCTGTGCTCCCAGGACATCTGGAGGGTCTAAGATACAGACAAAGACAAGACTTGCCATCTGCTTCCTCATCTCTCAGACCCATGTAAACCTTTGTTGTTACTTTCTATCCTTTTCTCTCTCTTTGGCTTATGTTTGCTCTGCAGAGCTAGTTCTTACCTCTTCACCTCTCATTTTAAAATAAACTTTGGCAATATTTTTAGTTTGTCTTATCCGGACTTGTTCCGGACTAGAAGGACCTGGAACACTTTTGCTTGGTGAGTCATTATTAAAGTAACTACCCCATGGTAACAGAAACAGTGGTGGACAGAGATGCAGGAGATAAGGAATCCGGCAGTTTGAGTCCTCGGAAGGAGCAGGGAAGCCAGACGGGAGTGCGGTAGGGGGCGGCAGTGACCCACATACTGGGGGCAGAGAAACAATGAGGCCTTTGGCCAGGGTGCAGGACCTACCCCAGCTTACCAGGGAGCCCCTTTGTGGGCTGGATCCAGGTGGCTGCTGGTGGGGTGGGGGAGATCCTGAATGGGCCACTTGTCTCCAGCCTGGGTGTGAACCAGGTTTGCTGGGCACACAGTGCCTTCTCCAGGCCTCGATGGCCGCAGTGGCTTCCACCCTGGGGAACCACAGAAGCTGGAAATTGACCACATGTGCAAAGTTGGAGCAATGCTGTCCCAAAAACAAAAAGCGCCTGGGGCAAGCCACTGGAGGAAGAAGCTGCTTCAGCCCAAAGAACACCTGGCCCCAAGACAATCTGAACAGTAGGTTGCTAGGACTACAGTGTACTATATGACATTAAGTTGCAAAAAGGTATAAACACCCCTTCAGTGAGGGAGAAGTTCCTTTCCTTCCATCACGAGGAGCTCCACTGACCCAAGCTTTGTCTCTTCTTTATTTTTTATCCTCTCACTGTCCTTCACCCCAAGAACCTCAAGAGCCACATGGGTTGTAGCACACCGCTAGCAGTTTTGACCACCCGATGAGGGAACAGGCTCTTCCCTGGCAACCTGGGCTCAGCCCAGGGCATGCAAGGAGCAGCCAGGGAGAGGGAATCTACCCAGCAGGCAAGCGGGGAGCAGCAGCTTCAGCCTTGAGGAGACCCTGTGAGGAGCTGCAGAGGAAGCTGTCCTGCTACATGGAGGCCCAGCTGAGTGGGACCCCTGGCTATCCAGAGCCTTCGTGTTGCAGTCAATAGCAAGTTCTCTGGCTTTCTGAATCTTACACTGGGATGCCATGGTGGATCACATGACATAATGCACCGAAAGCAGCCAGCAAGCAGTCTACCAGTGTCAATTTCCTTCCCTGGATGTGGGCAAGAAGGGACCAGGCCAGAGCAATTGGCTTTAGAGGTTTGCAAGGGGCTCAGGGTTTGGGGCTAGAGCTATGGCTCTCTCAATAGGTTGGAACTGTCCCTCAGCTGAGGTTCTCATTGACATGTCTAAAATCAAAGGCACCTTTCCCTCTACTTCACCTGGTTCCTTAAATATGACAGTGCCATGTCTCCTCATAACATCATGTCTCTTTGTTTTTGCAGTCTAACATACATGCATTCACCAGTGAAGTTGTCCTGGCTAAAACACCTGGCACCACCATCTACCTGGGCATCAACCGTCATCCCGTCAACTCTCCTAGACTCCAGTACAGCACCCCCTGCCAGCAGGAAGTAGTTAAAGAGAGAAATCTTTGCCCCTTTTCATAATAATAATCATAAGACGGGATATGAAAGGGTTTTGGCCCAGACAGGACTCTGTAGCGAGAAAAGACTCAACCGGAACCAGGAAGCTCCTATCTCCCTCACCCCTATGAATTTACCTGTGGCGCCAAACCTAGGACCAATGGGCTACCCGTGCATCCCTGATGCCCCCTTAGGTTCCACCCCAAACCAAGGCTACTTACTTACCCCCAACGCTGCGTGTCTGCCATAGAGAAAGCCGGACTCCAGCGGTCGGGGGTGCTGGTTCTCTCTATCCGTGTTCTCAGAATAAAGGCCTCTTTTTGTTTTATACTTCTCATCTTTTGGAAATAATCCTATCACTCATCTTCTGGGATTCTCGCCTGAGCCTATCCCATGGAGTGCAAGAGTCTGGGACAAGATATTGGAGATATTTCCTGCCTGGACTTTGTATCCTTTTACTGGTGTGTTGGGGAAACTTTCCAGTGCCAGTCCCTGGCTCCGGAGCCATATCAGTGGTCACGAGGTTCTTCAAATTTGTTAAGTAGATTTGGAAAGAGATGACCAGTTGGGGTAGGAGTCACACTGCCTAGGCCTCATGGTGCTGAGAAGAGAATCCTGGTCATTTCCTTCATGCTGTCCCTCTCTTCCAGGCTCTAGTTCCCAAATAAGACAGGGGAGGAGGAGGACAGGGGATAAGAATGACCAGAAGACCACCGTGGTAGCACAGGCCTGTAAAACCACCTCTTTGGGAGATAGAGGCAAGAGGATGGCCAGTTCAAGCACAACTTGAGCCATTTAGGGACTTATTGAGACACTGCCTCAAACTTTACAAATACACAGGGGCTAAGACTATAATTCAGAACAAATATTCTGAGTTCAATTCCCACTATTGCTCAAAAAGAAGAAAAAGAAGTGATAAACTGGATCGGAGAGAGGCTTTGGAGCAAGAGACTGAGGAGGTCACTGACCTCTGTCCCATCCTCCATCTTTCCTGTCTGTGCCTTCCTTCTTTTGTTATTTTCTGGAGACTCCAAATGAAGCAGATTATCAAGGAACTCAAGGACTGGGACAAACCAGTCCAGTTGGGTTGAAGGAGGTGGAGAAGACTCTTCCAGTGTTGGAGGCTTGCAAGGTGGCCAAGCCCCTGAGCCTGTGTGCTGGCCAGACCTACAGGCAGGATCCAGATGGGGCTCAGCCACAAGGGCTGCTCTCTGCTGCAGCTGCTCCACACAGCCATCCAGTTAGTGTCCACCATCGTGATCTCCACCCTGCAGGCCAGCTGGCAAATGTGCCACAGGAAGCCCATTCCACCGCAACTCTGGCCACTGCCTCCTCCCTCCACTCCCTGGTCCTATGCTCTTGTGTTCCCAGATGCTGAGGATACAACTGTGAATGAGGTTTGCCCAGGCCTGGGGGCCACAGAAATAACAATAGGCACCGTTGGTTCTGGGTCCTGAGGCTGTGATGCAGGAGGTAGAGGGGGCTGTGCATGGCCAGACAAAAGAAGCTCAAACACACCTGGGAGTCACATAAGACAGAGCTAGCAGAAGAGGGGATGAATCTCAGACCCAAAGAAGTCACTGGCTTGGTGTTTTGATAGGGGAGGTGGAGAGAAAGGAAGGGGCGTTCCCTGAAGAGGAACAGCAGGAGAGTGCAGAGCTGGCTCTAGGTACTACAGTGGGAGAAGTACAAGCCTGGCACCCAAAGCTGGCTGAGACCAGGAAGGATGGCTGAGATCAATTTGTGGAATCTGAACTTGACCCTAGAGCAATGGGAGTCATAAAAGCCAAAAAGTAGCTTGATTGGATTTGATTGAGAAATCTTGCACACATTTACAACGTAGACGGTTAGAGAAAGTGAAATATGATCACTACTCTCTTCTATGGTGATGCACAGCTTAAATCCCAGCACTCTGGAATGCTGAGGCAGGAGAATCTCAAATTTGAGCAGAGCCTGGGCAACATAGCAAAAAACCCATCTCAAAGTAAAAACTAAGAAAGGGTTGGGGTTGTAGCTCAGTGGGAAAGCATCCTTGGGTTCTAGCCCCAGCACCAAAAAAAAAACCACCAAAAGTTCATCTGGCAGAGAGTGTGGCTGAAAAGGCACAAGTGACAGGAGATTGGACCAACAGCTCTGAAGGAGGCTGATGCAGGCAGGCTGAAAAAAAATGTCTGGGCCCCGACGGGCAGAATAAGTGACTGGATTGGAGCACTAGTTAGGGGAGTTGTTGGGCCACATGGTGCAGGGGACGAAAGTCACAGGGAGAAGAAGAGACAGAGGCCAGGGGGCTGGAGACAGTGCCTGGGCTGGAGAATTAGGAGGATCAGCAACTTAGGGGACAAGAGGACAAGTTTAGGGGTCTGGGACAAGAGGAACTGAGGCATCCATAGAACACCTGCATGGGGACACTGTGATATAATGGCCTGGAGTCGGGAAGGAGCTCCGGGCTGGAGACCAGGTCAGAGCTCATTCTGTCCTCCTGTCCTCCTGGGCCTTCATGAAACTGTGTCCAACCTGGTCCCTGTGTTCTAATGGATGCATTCTAGTGGAGAAAAGAGCAGAATCTTGACTCAAAGCTGACCATGTATGAAATGTGGTTAGGCAGAGGTAGTGGCACATGCCTGTGATTCCCGTATTGAAGGAGGCTGAGGCAGGAGGATGGCAAGTTTGAGTTCACCCTGGGCAACTTAGGGAGAACCTGTCTCAAAATTTAAAAGTCAAATAAAAAGGGCTACAGATATATGTAGCTCAGTGGGAAGATCAGGGTTCAATTCCCGGTGTCATGAAAGATGAAAGAATAAAGATAGGATGGAGCAAAGATGGGTTAGATGAGGCAGAGTAGGCTTCTTGAAGGAAGCAGTTACAGCTGGCCTGGGGAAGGGAGGACTAGTGGAGCCTTCCGGGGTTATCTGTGGGTCTTTCCCACTGCTGTGTGCACATGCACATCCTCTTTCTCTTACAGTCCCCTGTGAGCTCCGCCTCCACTTCCTCCCAAGTGTGGACTCAGGCCCTGGTACACACCCGAGGCCCACCTGTTGTGCCCAGTGCGTGGTGCTGTGGGCCCTATGGCAGTAACTGAGGTGGCAGAACAGGCGCAGAAGGCCTTGTGTCCCAGCCCACTCCTGCCTGCTGGTTGAGCCAGTGCTGGGCCTGAAGCAGGATGTCCCAAGGCCCCTGTAAGAGCCCCCACATCCTCAGAAAGCCCCAGCCTCCACGTAGCAAAATAAAAAAGTGAAAAAAATAAACATAAGGGCTGGGAAAAACAAAAGGCTGAACGTGTGACTTAGTGCGAAGACTTGGTTTCATCCCTGGTTCTTCTGCTCCAAGAAAAAAAAAAATGATTGGCGGCAGTTATGAGAAGCCCTCCAGCCCAGGAGGCCTGGCTGCAAAAGCCTGCTCCCAAGCTCCCCACCTCACCTTACCTCGAGGGTGTTCTCAGCTTCAGCTTTGGGCTTGGCCTGGCAGGGTCACCAGTTTGAAGGGATTTGAGGGCCCATGGGCCTTGGAGGTGGCAGAGGCAGCCAAT